GGGGGCGCGGGTGAACTTTTGCTGAATCGATCGATTTCGATGATAAAAAATTTAAAGCGTTGATATACAAGCCGTGGCAGCGATACCGAGAAATATCTTGGCATCGAATCCATCAAATTATTATTAAAACGATTTCATTTGAGAAGTGATTTGTACTTACAACTATATTTTCTTTAAAACAGTTATGGAACTATTTCAATTTTTTAACACGAGCTTGCTAATAAGCCTGTTTTAAAAATATGGACGGGGACGGCTATGGGACGGCCACAAAACGGTCTCTTTTAATGGGACGGACGGTCTTCTCGGTAAACTATTCTTGAACTAAAAGAGCTTAGTACTGAATTCAAGCGGTCTCATAACCGTCTTTTATAAAAGAGGGTCAGAGGACGGCTCAAATGACCCCCTACCTGCCTTTAAGGTAGTACTTGTTCACTCGCGATACAAAGATGGGTTTTCTGCACTCGCTACCCGGCTGAGAGAAGCAGGCGTACCGGTAGCTAGGTGCCTACCGGTACTGAGGCATGGCCGGCCCATTGATGATGACGAGATGGGAGATGGGCAAGGCAGTGCCCGCTTACCTACTTAAGAGAGATAGGATAGATAAGATAGGATAGATAAGATAGGAAGATCATCATCCCGTCTGGGGCTTCATTGATTTTCCTCTAGCTGCCCCCAAAAAAAATCTCTATCAAATTACCACGTACGGACTGACACACCCACGGCGATGTAAAAGAAGGAAAGAAAGAAAACAAAAACATAATTATCCGATTCTGGTTGACGACCGCTCTAGCGTATGTAATGCAATTCGAGAGGCATGAAATCATCACTTCGTAAATCCCCTTCTTGGGTCTCTGTCCTTCTCGCCTTCTTTCCTTCTTCCTCTCCCCCCCCACACCCTTACATAGCAGCGAAGACTGCCGCGCCACCAAACAGCATGGCACCAATCGCTCCCGTGGGTAGCGGTGCGACACCGGCACTCAAACTCGTGGAGACAACGGTCTCGCCGGCAGCGTTGGTCGTGGTGAAGGTGGCAACGGGAGTCAGCGATGGCGTCGCGCTGCTGAGTCTGCCCTCGATGGAGGAGAGGCGGGCCGAGGCCTCGGACTTGATCTCGTCGATCAGGGAGGACGCGCGGGCGTCGGGGGATGCGGTGGAGGTGAAGGCGTTGATCTCTGTAGCAAGAAAAGAAGAAATCTTTTGTCAGCCTGGTAGACCGGGAACACGTGACGTACGGGGTTGGGGGGGCTTTTGAAATTGGGGTGGGTTGGGGAGGGGGAAGGGGTGCGGTTAGAATCATTTAGCGTACCGGAAGTGATGGATCCGAGGAGTGCGGTTGCATCACCCTGGACGGATTTCCACCAGTCACCACCCCTCGACGTGGCACCTTCATAGAGGGACTCTATTCGGTCCTCTACTCGGTCGTCGAAATCGAAGATGTCGTTGTCGTCGTTGTTGTCGTCGTTGTTGTCGTTGTTGTTCTGGGGTTTGGCCTGGAAATGTTATCAGCAGAGTCCAATCTGGTGAGAGACCGGGGAGGGAGCACGTACAATTGCGGCAGAAGCAAGAGCCAAGACGAGGATGTTCTTAAGTTGCATGTTCGCGGTAGTGTATCTGTGTTGCTTTTCTGTTTAAGGTGTTGGATTCGCAAGAGACGAAGGTGAGCAGGAAACAAGCAGTTACAGCCGATGAAGATGAGAGAGACGAGATACTTCAAATCAGAATGTGATGATTTTGGATCTGTAGACTGGAAGAAAGAGAGCTGGTATATATCCTGATCAAGTAACGACACCAAGCAAGTAAATAGAGAACCTGAGCCCTCTATCCGCGTCACTAGCGAGGCTTAGAATAGAGCACAACTCACTCGCGACTCTGGGATAAGCGTTGGCAAATCCCCTAATGGGCAAATTGTATGCTTGGACAGCTGGCCGGCCTCATTGTTCTTCTTCGGTAGATCTGCGGCGGATGCTAAGCCCTGCATATCAAGATGTTGTTGATCGCTTGTCGCATGTACACTAATGTCAAGGGGGCGGGGTAAGGAAGACAGGAGGAAGGGCGGCTCCGGCGATTATCGGATAGCATACGATGAGATTGGCCCGGGATCATCACCATCCCAAGATGGCCCATAAATCCCGTCCGAGTAGGTAGGAATGGTTCCCATGGATACGCCGCTGGGCTGTGGCTATGGGAATCGGATTGCGCGTCTCAGCCAAGAGCAGACGAGATTCTATTATTACCCCTTTCTTTATGTGCAGTTGCGCCAGCACAGTGATCAAGCGACCGATCTCCACTAGTAAATCTTAAATACAGTATCATCTAAGACCTTGCGGCTCCCGTCGCTTTCGGGTGAGAAATAGACTTCGAGGTATAGCCGTTAGCGACACACGAGTCTAGATAAAAACGATATGAAAGGATCGCTAGATACTGAGACACCCAAGGGGGAAAGATACCACGGCCAGCTGTTTTTCTGCGACCTTGTAACGCATTCTGGTAGTTACACAGGTAGTCGATAGTCTAGACTAGTCAAGTGGTTTGTTATATTAGAAATATCTGGTATTGCTAGGGAACGTCATGGTGGTCCCTGGAAGGAGCCGCAGGTGCACGTGCCACCCTTACGTGCTACTGCCGAGCTTAAAGCTTTTCGTACCTTCTACTACGTACTTCAATCATGGCCACAATGGCTTATCGTATTCCGATACTGGCAGCTCTTTACTTGTGGCAAAGAACTCTCTATTTAACTTTAAATAACCTTATCCCAATTCTTCGTCTCGAAGTGCTCCCGAACTTGTCAGACCGTTGTTTCCTTGCTTTATGTTCGTAGTATAAAGTGTAGTCTCGTAGTATTCCTTGACCAAGTTACGAGCGGTGTTTCGAAGGTGGTATGAGAGGTGGTGAATATTGCGCAATTGGCGGAAGAGGTAGGAAAAGTAGCTGTGAGGGTGACTAAAGCGGAAAGTGCTTCGAAGTTGATATGAGAGATAATTGCTTCGAAGTAGCGAAAAGGAAATAATAGTGAGACTTGACGTCGCAACTTTAGGAGCCTTTCCTCAAAGTGGACGAAACAATTATGTCCCGCGAAACAATTGTATCCCGCGTCGCTTATAAAATAACAAAGGAATCAAATATGGTTTTTAATCAAAATATTAGTTATATAACTTAATATATATATATATATATATATATATTACTGGATCTTAATCAAGTTTAAAAAAGATTAATTATATCGCGTGTCTTTTAGATTAAATTAAAAGAAGCTGTAAATTTGAGCTGCAGCGAATCCGATTTACTTCTCTCAACCTTCTACTCAAGTTCTTTTCATCTTTTAAGTATTATTTTTATTGGAAGTGATAATAGTTGAATATTAGTTCGCTTATGATTTTCGTCGTTATCGTCATTTTAAATATAAGCTACAGTAATAGATTTTACGCCCCGCAATCCCCCCCCCATGAATAAATGTCGAAAGTATAATTTGGCAAGAGATCTTACCAGGGCTTAAACCAATCAACTTAAAAGGAATCAGCTTTGAAAAGTATCTTTGAGCCGGTATTTAGTCTATACAATGGAGTTGACAGGGCTTTGAGCCATTAAAAAGCCACCGCTCTATGATTTTTTGTGGGCCTAAACTGGGTCCGACATTTCTTCATAGGGGGGGGGAGTGTAATTACTACGTAATTCGAAAGCGTTTTTTATTTATAAAGACTTAAAAGTCGAACGGATATAGATACGGTATCCTTAGCACAACACGAAAAGCGAAGTTGGTTAAAGCTTCCCAGACTTAATCTTATCTTTTCCGAGCCTTGCGAATCTATGGCGATTCAGCCAATGATTAGTGTTGGTTACACAGCTGGTTGATAGTCTAAACTAATCAGGTGGTTTACCGTGTTCATAATGTCTGGTTTTGCCAAGGAAAGGTTATGGCGGTACCTTACTATCCCCCCCCATGAATAAATGTCGAAAGTATAATTTCGCAAGGAATCTTACCAGGGCTTAAACCAATCAACTTATAAGGATTCAGCTTTGAAAAGTATCTTTGAGCCAGTATTTAGCCTATACAGTGGAGTTGACAGGGCTTTGAGCCATTAAGAAACCACCGCTTTATGATTTATGGGCCTAAACTGGGTCCGACATTTATTCATGGGGGGGGATAGTAAAAGAACCGCGGGTGCACGTGCCACTGCCATGCCTAAAGCTTCTCGTACCTTCCACTTCCATTATGGCCGCAATGGCCTATCGTATTCCGACACAGTCCATCGCCCAGGCGAGCCAGTGGCCGGCATCGAAAAGAAGGAGATGCATAGTTGCCTATTCGCTGCACCAACACAAATCTTTGATCTGTGCTTATCGAAATCTTTTCAGAGCTAAAGGTCGACTGTTGATACTCGCTATCATTCCATTCTCGCTTTGAGTAATTGCAAGATCGGGTGAGCTTAGATGAAGAAGTTTTCGGGCTGTATGTACCGGTACAGTAAGTATGTACGTATATGTGGCCCGGCCGGCTCTCGCTTACCGAACGGCGACAAAAGAACAGCAAATACCAGAACGCGGCGAACGGAATGCATAGATAAAGCCACACATCTCAATATGTATAAATATCTCAAGAGAAGATACAATGGTACGTACTACGTCGCAGGCGTAAGTATTACCCTTCGAGGGTAGGGAAAACAGGGGGTTTAAAGTGGAAACTAAACTTTTGAGGCACCCTCGAGGGGTAATACTTAGGCCTGTACCGTGGTCAATGTCTCCTCCCACCCCCCTCCTCCCCTCCACCCCAGGAGATCACAAGTTGCCTTTCAATCATCAGAGTCTTGTCCCAGCACGCAGTTGAAGAAGTCACCTACCTACCTCTAACTGCTAATGCATAAAAGCATGAACTTTTACTTCGCACCAGAGCTCTTTACCCATGACAGCTTGACTCTTCTACAACCATAAGCTTCGAAAGGTAAATAAAATCCATAGACCCTGTAATGACAAGAAGTAGCTTATAATTATAAGACGATGTTGTTTTACGATATTGTTATCTAATAGAGTTAATGAAAGCAGAGATGTACTTAAAAAGTTGGCTTTCGCTTAGCTTTAGAACAAGTCTTAATTAAATAAAGGGGCGGCTTCAGCTTTATCCCTTGTACGTATTGTAGTATCTAGGTAAGTCTAATCGAATAATCAGATTTAAGATTGCAGTGTTTAATTAACTACTTTTCCGAAGATGGAGTTAATAAACACCGGCTGGTATTGATCCTTCTCGCGAATTGTGTTGACCCGTAGTTAGGGCGCGAAAAAGTGGTTTTATGAATCGGCAGTTAGTTACATAGCTAGTACTGTACGTCTCAACCCAGCAAATAATCTATACTCAGTACCCAAGACGACAATACCATCGAACTGAACCAGGTTGAAAGACATGTACGGTGTAAGGGGGAAAATAGGCAAGCCTCCAGATCACCCGGGAAAGTGCTAGTTGAGAGCCCTTAAAATTTTCTCGGGATCCGAAAATACCCAGTCTTTTTTTCTCATTGGTCGAGATTAATTTAGGCTCTGATCGTACACATCAGCTCTTCAACTCTTCACCCTTTGTTCTTTTGTTTGGATTGAAGGCTTCTGTGGGTGGCTTCGCAGCCATTGAGAGACGTGTCTGTGAGATTGATTAGTTGGAGAGAATATCACCAATTTAGACATACTTACGTAGAATTTGATGTGCCTCGGATGGCGGAAGGAAGCGGCCGATCAAATGTTTTGTACTCGCTAATTTTAAATTCGGACTGTGGGGTAAATCAATTTCGCTGAGAGCGAGATGGGTTCGCATTTGATTGTGATTGGCTCGGGGACGGGGACGCTGCTTCTACTTGCGATACACACGCTACTAATGGAAATTTCACTGCATCAGTATAGAGCTCGGGGGCAGTAATTGGTTGCAAGCTAGCTGATTCCAATCCGAAAATCATAAGCCCTTGCCAGCACACCAAATGCATCAGTCCAGGCACCCGTACAACCTGTCCTCCCATCAAACTATGCTACAGACGAGCTAGGACAGTCAGGGCACCGGGCGATAGTTGCGCCCAGGGCACTGGTTGAGTTGGGAAGTGTAAATAGTACTCATCGATGGACAGGTTAGCGAGGCCACGGCGGGGTTAATGACGCTCCCCAGAAGTTGAAGGATGTTTGAAAGACTCAAAGTGCTGACCAGACCCGACAGAATCGATGGTGTGGCAGCTTGAACTCCTTGGAGGACGAAGCAGGCCAGGTTGTTCCCTTGCAGAAGGGTAGTTGCGTTAAATACGCCGCCGGAAATATCTTTGGGGTTGACACCGACGAAGGACTGATGACGAGCCGTCAGTAAAAGCTTCAATTCGAGAGGCCCTTCCAGGACTGAGAATACGGAGAGAGAACCTTACATTCACGGTACCTGTATTACCACCGATAGAGATGAGCTCTGGGAAACGAGCTGCCGTAACTCCCAAGTCCGCCTTGCATAGTTAGCTCATACCACCAGAGGAGCAGGAGACTCACAAATCCGTTTACAATTCCAAGTCGATTGTACGAAGGTCGTCTGTACCAGTTGTTTGGGATTCGTTCGTGACCTGGCGTGTACTTAAACGCGCCCTCTGGACCAGTGATACCGTGGAAAGATTTGAGAATCCCCCGATCAATGTAGCCGTTGGGGTTTTCCGCGGAGTGCTAATCTTGTTAGGGGGAAAGGCACTGGATGACTGAGTAATCTTACGTTTGAGAACATCAGAGGGATCAACGTATGAGCGATCGGAGCGACAAGTCCGGCAAACGGCTAGGAACAATTGTTAGAGACTCAATATCTCACGGCGGCTACGTGACTTGCCGCTGAGAAGTAGTATGGGTTATTCTGGACAGACCAGTCACGCATAGCCTTGTTGTGTTGACGCATGATATCCAGAGTGTAGAGCTCCGAACGGTTGTACAAGGCCATGAAGCGGTCCATTTGGAGAGTGGAAGAATCTCCGTTGTTCATGTATGCATCCGCCTAAGCCCTGTTATTTAAATGATATCTGGAAGGCCGTCGGAGGTGGGTGGATTTACGCGTGTGACTGAACCGTCTGTTTCATACAAGTTGTGTGAGTACGAGAGACCCTTTGGGCTTGAGAGAAGGCTTCCTAGTAGTCCAGCTCTATCGCCCAGTCGTTAGCGAGCCTAGATCTCAGGGAGGGATATTCGACATACGAGTATGGACCTCCAATAGACCATGTACCACCAAGCACATCACCAGTCAAGGCAACCCCGATTGTAGCGAGCACAGTTGAAAGAGGGATATCCATATTGTAGGCTTGTTGAAGACCTGTAGCAACTTCGTAGAGATCAGAACCGGCAACCAAGAGCCTCCAGCATGCTACTTACATTGTGTCACAGTGCCAATGCCATTGTGGGGGATGAATCCGTGGTTGGCAGCAGCATTAAGTCCAGAACAAGGGCCACGCCTATCCGATGCGGTTGGAGGGACGAATTGGTGAGGAGTGCCAGGGCGGACGTCAACGAACTCTGGGTGATAGGAAAGTCAGTAAACACCACCTGGAAACGCCTTGGGCAATCTGGTCCTCTGAGAACTTACGGTCAGCGGCGTCAAAGGTAGGGCAGGGAATGATGCCACAGTTGGGCTCGTTCTGCAACATCACTTGAGCGTCAGGGTGTGTTGTCATCGAATGTATCCGGATTTTTCAGTAATGGAAGGGAATACAAGAGCAAGCCCAGCGGTTTTCCACAGCAATAGACTGACTGACCTGGCTGAGAGGAAGCGGGACTGGTGGCACAGCTTGTCTAGTCTCGATTACATCGGCCATGCTGGGGAAGGCAGAAGCCATGAAGACCAAAACTAGAACGGAGAACATCATCATCATCATCAAGGAGGATGCGCGATGCATCTCGAGGGTTGTATGCGTGTGGACTTTGGGTTGAAGTTTGAGGAGAATGTAGTCAGAGATAGAAAGGGAAAGAGCGTAAGAGAAGCAGGAAGGTTCTAATTAGAAGGACCTCTTAATATATATAACCAGGAGGCAGTTCCGGACGTTCTTGAAGCGTATTGGCCAGAAAGCCGACCTCAGACTCAAAAAGCGAACGGGTATTGGTCATGCGCTAAGAGCTGCTATAGGAAGTGAACAAGGCCAGAAAAGATACAAGGCAGGATCTCAATGCATAGAGAGTGAACCACCCATCCAGAATGATGATAAAAATCAGGTAGAAAACAATGCAATTCGGATTTTGCTACCTGACCATAGAATAATGGTCTACTCTCGCAGGCGAACTAAACGCTTGAAGAATGTGATGTTGGATGGGACAGGGGCTTTCATCCGTGAAGAAGCAAAGCCAACAATATGTTGTAGCACGTTGACTCGCTCGCTACTGGGCTCTCCATTGGATATCAGAATACAAACAATGCAAGATTCGTCAAGGATTACTAGATCTCACCAGCAGAAGATGGCTTCCACAACTTCCAGGGTCCCAAAACCAACATTTCCATGCAGATCCAATGAGTACCAGCATCATCACGCTATAAAGTTCATTTGAGCACATCAATTTCAAGCCTCAAATAAGAAATCAACCCATCTAAGAGATTCGTGATAGAGATAAACACGTCTCATCCGCATCAGCTTCGAGAAGCCAGGCTAGTCAGCCGCTATGAGGGAGGGTCTCTTCAGGTCAAAAAATAGTAATCTAGATGATGATATACACTCCGTTTAAGCATAATTGAGACCTCAATTCCAGGTCGTAGCCGAAGCTGCAAAGCACATTAATCAAAATTTGGAGGCTGCAGTACAAAGGGGATGAGCAGCCGGTGTACCACCCAACACCTCGGTACCCCTGCCGTGCGTCCCTGCTGTACGATTGTCATGGCGAAACGATCTGTACCGGTTGCTTTTGCGATACGATGTGGACGCGGGAGGAGGCATGGAGGTGAGGTTGATCCTACTACGGTAAATTAATATACACGGGTCATGTGACATACCGAAGCATCTTACTCTATTGCAAGCTACAGAGTGAATCTTCGATATCACGTAGCCAGCACTATTAAAAGTTTTCACACCCCATGGGCATTTATTTGCCTGGTATGTAATCGCCAGTTACCTTGAATTTAATTCGAGAGAAATTGATACGACTTGCAGTGCAAGTCGGAACCACCAAGGCGGGACAGTGAATTTTGCCCTCGTAAAATCGACAGAAAATCTACCATGTATCATATCGTTCTTATTTTTGTATGAAAAGATGCAGCGTAATGAGTTTAGTACTATCCAATCAACTTTAATTATAGGTATTTGTTCTATTGTGGTGCTGGGCTGAAGTAGTAAAAATAGTACTTTTGGTCCACCTTTGCCTTGATCCCTTTCCAGTACTCTTGAAAAGCAAACCGGTTACGATGCTGTCCTACCATGGGTATATATCAGAATTGCAGCGTAAATACCAGACTAAGCGAGGAACATTAGAAGATCGGACTTTCATTAAAATCTACTAAAAATACCTTTTCTATACTGTCAACTTTCATTTGATAATTATTTCCTTTCCTATTATAATAGATCCGATTATTTCTTGTTGATCTTAGGAAGTTTTTTTTTTAAAAAAAAACGAGGTTGTGGTTGAGATGTTGTAATCGAACATGTAAAATTCAATTGTTTGGAACAGTTTTTGGCCATAGTTTCACCACATTTTTATCATTTGACTTGTAACAAATAGATGCATCTTTAAATTTATAATTCACGTTTGTATAGCAATGTTGTCTGAGAATATACACATATTTATGATTATATTAGTAGTTGTAACTTAATAAGTGTTTTCATGGAACTGTCCCGTCGTGGTGAGTCCGACTTGCTACAGCAAGGCGGTCATTTTCATCGAAATAAATTTAAGATAATCGCCGGTCACCTAGAATTTAAATTGGGCGCAACAAAGGATGTTTTAGATTAATATTCAATGCAATCGACGTTTAACCGGCGATTATTCTGGAACTTGATCGGGTTTCGCAGGAGTTCTATTTTTCATACCGGAGACAAAGGGTAAGACTCTTAAGTAGGTGGGTCAAGTCATTGGAATTCGGACGAGGGATCCCGCGGTATATGAAGCAAGGCGAACTGTCTACTTCTTCGAAAGATGTCCTACTACCGGTATGTAATTTATATTAGTGCTGAGCTATTGAAGTCTCTATTGGTAATGAGGTCCACTTCTTTGTCTTCACCGCCTCAATTGTCGCTAAACATCTCTGCACTGATCGGCTTTGTTAAGTATGGACAGAGTACCAGCACCAATAAGAACAAGCTTAGGCTGAATGGTTTAGTGGTATAATTCTTGCTTTGGGTTCACCACACCAACCTGCAAGAGGTCCTGGGTTCGATTCCCAGTTCAGCCCTCTTTTTTGCTGTTTGCTGTAATGCCATCTGCTTTGGGCCTCAAGCCCTGAGCTGAATGAGCTTTGTGTTCTCGTGTTGTGATAGTGAGCTTCATTCTGGCCCACTCCCATCCATCCTCCTTCTCGGTTCACAATTCCGCTGTGCTTTACACTTCCTGAGTGAATTGAGCTCCTTTGGAGCTCGATTCAAAGGAGCTCGATTATGTTCTTTTTGATTATAATTTGGACTAAAGTTTGTGTGGGGAGGACAGGACAGAGCGGGGGGTGGATCTCGCTTAGCTACTGGCTTGGCGAGGCTTTGTTGAGGTGCCTGTTTCCTGGTGCTCTCAAACTTGTCTTGTTGTCGATTCAGTACTGCCCAAGGTTTTAATTGTGTCAGAAGACGCCTTTGGGAAGGAGGTAGGCAGGTAGGTTACTTGACATAAAGATCATGCAAACAAGTTTCTGGTTGAAAACTTCTGAAACCTCATAAACTTTAGAAACCTCGGAAAATTGGAACTGCATACACCCGAAAGCTACATAATACGTAGTACTACTATCCCCCTCCATATTTGAAAGGCGGACCCAGTTGTGCCTTATAAATCGTAGAGCGGTGGGTTCTGAGTGGCTCAAAAGTCCTGTCAACTCTACTGCACAGACTAAATACTTGCTCAAAGATAGTACTACGTCGCAGGCGTAAGTATTACCCCTCGAGGGTATGGAAAACAGGGGATTTAAAGTGGAAACTAAACTTTTAAGGCACCCTCGAGGGGTAATACTTAGGCCTGTACCGTGGTACATTTTATGGCTAAATCACGAGAGGTTTATCAGTCTAAGCCCTGGTAAGAGCCCTTGCAAAATTATACTTTCACCCGTTACGGAAAACATGCGGGGGAGTAGAGCTAAGCGAAGTACCTAGAGCTAAGCGAGCGTTCTGACGGTCAGGCCATATGGTCAGCCCAAGCAAACGACCTATTGAGGTCAGACCATGTAGCGCTCTGTTCGCAATTCCGTTTGTACCTCAGCTACGTACCGGTAGTAGTAGTAGCTATTCGATTAGCTAACTTTTACTCTTAGTTAGAAGCAACGCAAAAACAGACTACTTTCAGAATACGCAATCAGTTGCAATCCCCCTCTGTGATACCAACGCTTCTTGATTCCTCGCCAGTCCTCGACTAGAGTGGCTTAGGAGATTTATAAGGGGTGTTTAATTTTCGCGTCTGACACTGCTATTTCAACCCTGTCTGGAACGCGATAAGGGAGTATGAGAATCTCTTGCTGTGGTACCGGTATGTTCTGCTTTGCCAAGGCAGCTAGTTGCCGGAGAGGCATATGACTCGCAATCTTTCGCTTCTTTGAACTCGCTGATACTGTAAGCACAAAGCGTTACTTTCTAATTCCATCTGATAAAGCATCATCGTAGAGGATGTTAAAGCTCTAGATGGTCATGTAAGGGGATAAGGTGCTGCTCTGGAGTATGGATGCCAGAACCGACGTCACACAATCGATGCATTCCTAGAGTCAAGTTTCATGCAAAAAAGGCATATGTCTCGAGATCTTTTCCAGAGCCTGTATCAGTTCCTAGACATTTTTACCAGTTAGTCACATGACTGCCCGTACCTCCGACGATCGAATTCCTGATTTCGATGGATCCTCCGATCGCCATCTAGCGATGATGGCTGATCGGATGTGGTCTGGATGAGCGACATTCCATTCCGTCTGTTTTGAGACCTACAGAATGATGCCATTCGTCGTCGTCGTCCGAAGCCTGGAAACAGTGCTGGTCTAGACGCGGAGGGTGCGCCACAAGCTGTTTTCAGCCTTCAGCCACGCATGATCTTCGTTCGCAACGGGGACCCAGAGCAGCTTGACCTGCATTGAGGACGGGACGTGCACGATAGGAGCTGCATGATGCATCGTCAATGATCAGGTTGATGTCGGTGTTGGTGTTGATGTTGATGTCATGTCATGATATGAAGCGAAAGACGGGGCCTCAGCTTCATCCAAGTATGTAAGTAAGTATATGACAGACATCCTTTCCCAACCCTCACCCGTTCCATATCCATCCATCCATCCATCATCCATCCATCAATCAATCAATCAATCAATCAACCAAACCTTTGCCGTTTCATAATCCACTGACTGGCTGGCTCCTTCCCTCATCGAATGATCGCGAGATAATACCTAACGACAACACGATCTCTCTCTCTCCCTCTCTCCCTCACCACTTGATCGGTAGCAACACATCAGAAAGAATGAACGCAACACCCAACCCCCCCCCAGAGCGAGCCTTCGCTCTGCAGAAATACCTCCTCCTCCACTCTCAACACGACGCTCTGCAAAAGCACCTCGCTCAAATCTCCAGCGCATTCCCAAGCACCATGACCTCGCCAACGAGCACTCCCTCTCGCTCGCGCTTCCCGTCCATATCCTCCACGACCGACTCCGAAGATGGCATGCTCGTGTCTTCTCCGTACGCGGAGCCAAACAATCAGCGATGGGACAGCATCCCACGACTGGATCAGCGTCCCCAGCTTCACAAACGGGGGTCGAGTCTCCCGATGGTCGTTGACGAGAGCATCCTGGATGCCATCGACGAGGATGAGGATAAGTTGAAGGACGTCAATATGCAGATCAAGCAGACGTTGACGGACCTGCTGAACTGCGCGAGCGTCAGGAATGACAACAAATATCGGTTGTGGGTTCAGACGCGGTTGATGGATGCGGAGAAGGAGTTGAAGGGGTCGAGGGCGAGGAGCTTTGACAGGAGACGCAGCGAAGACGTCGGTGCGGGCATGATGTATTGACCAGCATCACCAGATGGTTATATGGCCGAGGAACTTGGAAGCACCGAATCGTTGGAGCTTGGGTGTATGAGTAAAAGAAGTTCACGATTGACGAGGTTCGCAGGCGCAGGCGCGTTAGACATCGTATTTTTTAGATACCCCAGACTGTTGTTCAGCAGATGTCGCTCCTCCGACCCGTTACTAGTAGTACATGATAAATGAAGCTATTAATTCAAATGCCCGTCTTCGTCAGCTTTCGTCCCCCGTTAAGGATGTAAGTCTTTCGTACTCGTCTCAACGCCAACGAATGACCCGAATATTGACATTACAACCTTCACCATTACTCGCCGATTCAGCAGGCCACCTTGTCCCTTCTCGCCTCCATAATTGTACTTGTTATGCCAGCTCCCATGTCAAAACAATCACCCCGAGAAACCCCGTAGAGCCTCATATCACATGCTTCCAGCGCAGCATTTAGAGTTCCCACACTTCCCGGCTGGCGGGGGAGAATACCGATAGTGCAGCGCTACGATGCGACTACCTGCGTGTCAGAGGTCAATAACAGATGGAATCTACGCCTCCTTCTGGTGAAGTACCAGCAATAGTCTTGAGTCAGATGTTCGCCTGGAAGAGGAAGTACATGTACTGGTAACTGCCTCGTCGGACATTAGCTTCGCCGAACATTAACTTTCTTCGACTTCGATTGGGGTATATATATCGTTTGAGAAGACCGAATACTCATTCATATCTTTTATTTTTTACCCTCTGCTCACACCTCCGTAGAGATACATATCTATATCTAGCCCCGTGGGCGTCGATTCCTGTGCTTTCACTATGTCTACTGAGCAACTACCTCCGCAGCAGAAAGGGGCGTTTTTCTCGTTCATCAGGGTCCGTACTACTCTGAGTTCTCTCTTGAAAAGCCATCTCAATGCCACTCAGCAACTGACAGTCCCACAGTCCCTCGCATCTTTCAAAGGCGACCTCGCTACCCTCACAGCGCCTCCTTTCCTCCTCTCCTCCCAGTCCATAATCGAGTACTCCGCGTACTGGAACGAAAGTCCCTCCCTCCTGGTTGCGCCAGCCAGCGAACCAAATCCCGAGAAGCGCGCATTGCTGGTGTTGAAATGGTTCATCAGTACATTGAAGGAACAGCACAGCAGTAAGGATGAACATGGCAGGAGGAAGAGAATGAAGCCCCTGAACCCGTTTCTTGGAGAGCTGTTTATGGGAAAGTGGGTTGATGGGGCGGGCACAACGAATTTAGTTGCTGAACAGGTTAGGTGTGTCATGAGTTGTAGGTGCTGTGTGATTGTGCTGACGGAAACAGTCACCATCCTCCGATTACTGCGTATAATATTTGGAACGATGAGCATGGAGTCAGGGTGTGTCTCCTCCTCGAAGTCAAAGTCAAGGAACCTAGGCTAATTTAAAGTAGCTGGCAGGCCATGTCGCTCCCAAAGCCTCATTCTCCACAACAGTCAACATAGACCGACAAGGGTACTCGATCCTGCACCTCGACAAATTCAATGAAGACTACTTCATAACGATGCCCAAGATCCACATTGAAGGCATAATGACCGGTTCTCTGGCACCAGAACTCAGTGGTACAACATATATACGCAGCTCGTCGGGCTATACCGCAGAAATCCACTATTCGAGTAAGGGCTGGCTGAGCGGGAAGCGTAACACTTTTCTTGCTACTTTATGTCACGACGATCATGAGACGGAACCACTGTATATGTTGGAAGGGCAGTGGAGTGGGGAATTTACGATAAAGAATATGGCCACGGGAAAATTTGTCGGGAAAATCGATACCAGTGCCATTCCCAGGACGCGCTTGACAGTCGCCCCGATCGAGAAACAACACCCCCTTGAATCGCGGCGCGCATGGCAACACGTCGTAGACGGCATCGAGAAAGGCGATATACTGGCCATCGGGCAGGAGAAATCGAAAATCGAAAACGAGCAAAGAGAACTGCGCAAACGTGAGAAAGCTAAGGGAGTAGAGTTCCCAAGAAGGTATTTCTCGAAAGTGAAGCATGATCTCGTGGCGGAAAAGTTGATTAAGGGGTTGAAGGGGAGGGGTGTAAGGGGCGATATGGATATGGCGCACGGGGTGTGGATGTGGGATGAGGAGAAGTATCGGAGTGTACAGGAGGGTAGAAGTGATGGGGTGAGAGGTCCGAGGAGGACAAGGTTTGATTCTGGGGTTGGGGGAATGCTTTTGGATATTGCTAAATAGGTTCGCAATGGGTAAGACTTCGACTCTGGGATTTGATTGGTTAGAGAACTGTGTAGGTCTAATAGAGAAAAGATATATCAAAATCATCAATATATTAAGCCCTATCCCAAGGCAGCATCACATCCTGCTTCTGAGTCCGCATGATAAGAGATTCCCTTGGAGCAGGCCCAGCCAAGCCAAACTATGGGAAGCTACACGCCGTGAAGCGTCATGCGAGGATCAAAACAAAATAAACCGATTTCAGCCCGAATGGGAAATATAAGCCTATTATTACGCGATGGGTGTTCTTTGAGCATTCCAGCGATTACAGCAAGGGTTGATAGGGAGTTCAGAATAGCACGAGGTGGTATGGCTACGTCATAGCTCGATATTCACAACCAACGCTGGCACGATCAAGCTTAGGTTCACTACGCAGAGGTAATCAGAGCTAAGCAGCATATAAGAAAGAAGGGGTCCAACTCAAGCTTCGACTTCCATCGTCAACCTGAAAACCCTTACAACCAACAATCCAGACCTCTTCCACCAACCAAACCAAAACATATCAAACAGCAAACGTGACCATGTCTGACAAAGACACTTCCAGCCTTCAGTCGTACATCGACTCTGCTACTGGCGCCGTTCAGTCTGCCATGGGCTCGTTGACTGGTAACACTGCTGACCAGGTAGCGATCCCTCTCTCTCGTCCTGACTACTACACCTTTCACATTTCTTTATCCAAATCCACAACATAAATCTGACAGTAAAGTATCAGAACGCCGGCGAAGCCAAGAAGGCAAAGGGCGACCTCGAGCACGATGCCTCCAAGGCTACCCTCAAGGTTGGCAGTCTGACTGCTTCATCCTCGGGAGCCGTCACCAAGGACGACCCTAACCGCACCGAGGGAAGCTGGAACCAAACTGTGGGATCGGCGAAGGAGGCTGTGGGTGGACTCATTGGCAACCAGGTTACTTTTTCTTCTCCTTCTCTCCGTCCTCTTATTGGCGAGCAAAAGACATCTTTCTCCTTGTCACAGTACACCTTCGTCTCTTGGCGGATGAGAAAGGCAAGACCGGAAACCTAAGTTAGAAACTGACGGGAATCTGTATCACAGAGCCTGAAGAACGCTGGTGCCCAACAAAACGCCGAGGGCAAGGGCCAGGAGGCCCAAGGTCAACTCAGCGATCTCGGCTCCGGCGTTGCGAACCGCGTCGGTGGTGCTGTCAGCGGTGCCGTCGCGGGCATCACGGGTAATCGGGACGCTCAGCTGAAGGCGCAGGAGCAGCACGATATCGGCAAGACGCAACAACGAGGTGCCGAGCATGATATTCAGAAGTAGAACTCGTAGGTAGACTGATTGATGCGTGAGACGGAAGGAGGTGCTTGATAGATATGGCGGTGCCGGATGCGGGAATCGGGATATGCTGCTACCGTGTGGCTTTGGTGGCTCGGTCGAGTCTGTAATGGCCTTTTCTGCTTTTTGATTATAGGAAATAAATACCCTCTATGCGTACAGTTGCTACTTCTTCCAAGGTTCCTAGACACGCTCATCCAGCTCGTGAGGAGGGAGACAAATTATGAAAGCCCGAAAGCCCGAAAGCCCCATGACAAGTTCCTGATGCACATGTCGAAATGATGCAGCCAGCCGACTAGCATCTCTCTCGAAATTCACACCACCACCCCGACAGTAACCAGCAACAGCCAGAAAACCCCATTCCGAACTCTCCAGCACCATAATTCGCACACGCAGAAATACAATCTAGTTCCTGCCTTCCTCTCCAGATATCGTGAGAGTGTTGCTCTGCCCCAGATCCAGAGACACAGTAAGTTAGGTAGGTACCTTATAGAGATCTCCTCTCCTTTGAGCACTTGGGCGCGCGCCGCCTAGCCTGCAGCTGCAGCATCGAAGCAGCTTCGGAACCTCTCTCTCTCTCTTTTCTTTTCTTTTTTATTATTATTTTATATTTAGGCTAAGCGAAGGCCAACCAACATCTGAATACCCCTACCTTAACTACCCATAATCCACTCATTCCCTGTTACCTATGATGACCCAAAAAAGTCTGATATCCCCTCTTCCCTTCCTCCCCCCCTGCCCCCTTGGGGGAAAAAAATGAAAAAGAAAAGAAGAGAAAAGAAGCGGAATGTGGAAAGTGTAAAAGTGTACTGTAAATGATGGAAAGGACAAAGAGAGGCGGGGGAACACAAGAGGAGATAAAGCGGGAGAAGTAAAGAAGAGGGGATGAGATGGACGAGGTTCAAGTATGGGATTCGAACCTAGCTGTGCTCGGGCGAGAGGGGAAACGGCGAGATAGAGCTTGAGCTTGAGCGAGGCGCTGCGTTGGATCTTCTTCATCTCGTTTGGTGTTGGGAGTTGGTGTGTGTGTGTGGGTTGTACTTTGAGCGGAGTGGAGCGAAGTGGACGAGGTGGGATATTCTGGAGGGGGAAGGGGAAGGGGTGAGGAGGGTGAGGGTGTAGGGTGTAGGGTGTAGGGTAAGCTGCGGACCCCGGGTTAGATGGAATAGGGATGCCTTTTCTTCTTTTTCTACTGGGGAAGAATTGGCTCTCGGAAATGGAAACGGCAGGCCATTGATTGATACCTTGATGTTTACTTCGTATAGGTTTCAGATGGCATCTGCCGGCCGGGCCTGTACTGATCTGATCTGATCTGATCTGGTCTGGTCCTGCGCCCCCGAAGTTGGGAGGCAGACTACAGTGAGTGAGTGATATCGGCGGCCAAATGAATACGGATCCTTTCGAAGCCCACCTTCTGTATCACTCTCTCGTTTGGAAGCTCTTGCGGGGTGCGCCTGCCGCTAGACACTTTACAAGGTGGGAAGTATCTACGGCTAGGAAAGGGGCTCGCTTAATCGTTTGAGCAGAGAGCTGCTCGGCGGGCAAAATTGGTAGAAGAAGCTTTATTTACTATCATACTAATTCGAAAAGAAAAAAAACCCCCCCGCGGAGCAAGTCTAGCTGACCATTCTGCTGTGCTCTTTGCGCTACCCCGTAGAGTATAGATCAACGGAGGGCTTTACGAATGTAGGTAGGGTTCTGCTGTAGAGAAAGAATGTCCTCCCTGCTTACTCACGATGCCGTTCTGCACTGTATGTTGCTCGACAATCAGGTGGGTGGGAAGAGGTGTTGCCCATGTGGAGAGGCCTACAAGAGTCGCCCGGATTCTTTAATTATATAGCGCTGGTTCCTATTTCCGTTCGTATGGGGAGATTGAGCATTGCGGTTGGGAGAGGGAAGGAGCGACGGGTGCAGCCTTTTCCATGATAAGTCACTAAGTCGGTCTTCTGTTCTCCATTGCAGAGGGAAGTGCTGAAGGTAAAGAAGACTGCTTTGGAGGAGGGGAAGGGGAGACGATATCAGCAGCCAGGCATCTGGTTGACGATAAGCTCGCTATGCTGGACGCGTAAAACAGGTCGTTGCCAAGTCACTGAAAGTAGAGCGAGGTGATCCAAGAATCAGTAGGCCAATAGTAATATCTTGTATTTGGCAGCTTGATAAAACTGACCTTTTAGGCAAAGAATAACAACAGATCTATCTCTTGGCTGCTCTCTCAGCGCTAGACGTGGACTCATGAGAGACGAATTCAAAGCTGGACTGTCACTGGCACACTATTCGTCAAGTAATATTGTCTTGGAAGCCTCATCGAGTCCTTCGGAGTCGGCAGGTCCCAAAAGCAACTCTTTTTAATTTGTCCAAGTAACCACACCACGGTGCATCGAATGACCGGCCTTCCTCGGGCACAGAAGTGAGACTTGTCCCATGCAGACCAGTACTCGGTACAACGACCGTCACGGAACACCGCGCAGAGCTACGAGAAGGCAAGGACAAATGAAGATGGCAATCGATACACCTCCATCGAGACCGGAATGTTCCGCCGCTGTGCAACCGTCGCAAACAACACCAGACGGGGGAAGAGCTGCGTGCGCGCGAACGCGAAATGCTCCAGCAGCAGCAGCAGCATCTTTGCTACCCCTTCTCCTTGGAGTCCCGTAGAGTAAAAAGCAAAATCCGTAAAGCCGCATCTAGGATAAGTGTGACGGGATGTAAAGTGCGGCTACCGGTACATTCATGCCTCTCGTGGGAATGTCTCTCAGACGGTCAGACCCTGGCTGACAGTAAGCTGACGCACAGGACTCGGAGAGCCCAACTTGAGTTGTTGGTAATGTGAGGGATTTTCCCGTGGGACTCGTATGCAGGTAAATTGATATCGATATCCAGACAGATGAAAACGGGAGTTGATTGTTTAGATTCTTCCTTCGACCGAAGACTCGGCGGTGGGTTTGCAGCCCAGGTCAAAGAAAGACACCACGTGACGTGCCGGGTAACTTCGACCCACTCAGCTGGTGCTCGCTTCCGTCGCGGCGGACGATCGTGGACGTGGACCGGACCGTACTTCAACGGATGTCAGCTCGTGGCTGATGCTGATGCTGATGCTGATGCTGCTGCTGCTACTGCTGATGCTGGATGATTCACTTGCCGTACCTTGTACACCCACATCCTTGCTTGTAATTCGCTTGATATGCCGTCTCGCAAAGTCTCGGTGTTTACTTACGGCCGGCGACGAGTAACTCCTGACTCCTTCCTTTTGTTACATCAGATCTGCGGAATGGAATGAAATCGGCGTAACCTCAATTAGTCAGCCAAGACGTCCCGTCCTGAACCGCTTCCATATAAGCTACAGTCACCACCTACCCTTTCACAAAGACTTGTGCTCTGTCTCTTCTCTGTATCACTCACTTTCCTCGAACTGGCTTCCCACACTGACCCTCATACTTCAAGCTGCACTTCGGCATGGATTCGCGAGCAGAGACCCTGAACGAGGAGAAGGAGGTCGGCCTCAGTGTCTCGCCATCGCCGACTAGATCTCTCAACAAGGAGGCGACCGAGGCAAACAGCTTCGACGACGGAGCAACCCATCAGAGAGAAGGCTCGGTTCAAGATGATGCAGCTGTACAGGAAGGAGATGGGGATGAGGGGGATTACCCAGCTGGATTACGCATGGCTTTCATCGTCATCGCACTACTCCTCTCTATCTTCCTTGTACGTACACACAATCTCGAATATATGTGTGAATAACTAACCTGTTGATCGAAGGTATCTCTGGATATGACGATTGTTGCAACTGCTATCCCCAAAATCACAGACGATTTTAAAGGCCTCGATTTGGTCGGCTGGTATGGAGCTGCCTTCTTCCTGACCGTTGGAGCCTTCCAATCGACCTGGGGAAAGGGCTACAAGTACTTCCCATTGAAGACCACCTTCCTGGTAGCAATCTTCATCTTCGAGCTCGGCTCGTTGATATGTGGTGTCGCACCGAATTCAACTGCACTTATCGTGGGACGAGCTATTGCAGGTCTTGGGGGAGCAGGTATTGCCTCCGGAGCCTATACAATCATCGCCTTCTCGGCGAGACCTAGCAAGCGTGCTGCCTTCACCGGACTGATGGGAGCAGCATATGGAATCGCGAGTGTCATCGGGCCTCTGCTGGGAGGAGTCTTCGCCGAGAAAGTCTCGTGGAGGTGGTGCTTCTATATCAATCTCCCCGTAGGAGGCATTTCCGCTGCCATCATCGTCTTCTTCTTTACCACTCCAGCACAGGCCATCCCAGTCAAGGCCACCCTCAAGGAAAAGTTCCTCCAAATGGACATGCCCGGCTCGTTTGTTGTGATGGCCGGCATCGTCTGCTATATCCTGGCACTTCAGTGGGGAGGACAGACCAAGTCTTGGGGCGACTCGGATGTTATCGGTACCCTCGTCGGCTTCGTCTTGATCATGATCCTCTGGGCCGTCATCGAATGGTATCAAGGCGAGCGGGCCATGATCGTCGGGCGCCTGCTCAAAGATCGCCACATCTGGTCCGGCATGGCCTTCCTCTTCTTCCTCGCCGGTGGCTTCTTCCTCCTCCTCTACAACCTCCCCATCTACTTCCAAGTCGTCAGCGGTGTGTCGGCATCCGACTCTGGAGTTCGCAACCTTCCACTGATCCTCGGATGCACGATCATGACTATCATCTCGGGCGGCTTGATTTCCGCGTTCGGCGTAGCAGTCCCGTTGATGATTGCCGGGGCCGTACTCGCCACGATCGGCAACGGCCTCCTCTACACGCTCGACATCCATTCCTCCTCGTCAGCCTGGATCGGCTACCAGGCGCTCTCTGGAATCGGCATCGGCCTCGCCCTCCAAGTCCCGATCATCGTAGGACAGGCGGTCGCCAAACCCGAGGATCTCTCGTCCGTCACCGCCATGATCCTGTTCGCGCAAACCATCGGAGGCGCCTTCTTCGTGTCAGCTGGCCAGGTCGCCCTCTCGAACGTGCTGCAGAGCTCCGTCGTGAAATACGCGCCTTCGGTTACGCCAGCCGATGTCCTGCTAGTGGGTGTCACTGAGATCCGCAGCCATTTCGAGGCCGATGTTGTGGAGGGGATTGTGATGTCGTATCTGGAGGGGTTGAAGGCTGCGTATGCGATTGCGATTGCTTGTTCGGGCATTGCGGTCATCTTCAGTTTGTTCAGCAAGTGGACGAATCTGAAGGGGAAGGTGCAGGCAGGTGGTGCCGCGTGATAATAGGTAGTAGCTAGGTTCTATGTGTGTTTTTTTTTTTGGGCTCCGGGCGCAAAAGTCAAGGCATTTCTTACGGAGGAAATATGATACCCGACTTTCAAACAGGGAAAGAGGGCGTTCATAGGAGTTACGGATGTTTTGAGGACCTGAAGGCACATAAGACTACACTACACTTCCTCCCAGATAAAATCAATAGATTGTACATCACTACAGAAGCTCATCGTTTCCAGGAGCGCTGGTGGCAACGAGGCGCCGACTGTGAGTGGCAAGGCATCAACTTAGTTGTATTTATGGTACCGTACCGTACTACCGGCGCACCTGTCAGAGGGATGGTCGAGGATCGACGGTGTAGGTAGGTACGAGGGTGGGCAGCTAGATTTGTGGATTTGAGGCTCGTATCCGGCATCGGCGCTTGTGTGAGGGAGCGGGAGTAATTGGCGCCCAGAAAAGCGTACATACGTACCTACCTGAAGGAGGAGGAAGCGCGCGGTCATCCCGCACGATGCACTCCGGGTGTAATTTCTCCCCTTCCGCCCGCAGATTTCCTTCACCCTTTGCCATCCCTCCCTCCATCCCTCCATCCCTCCATCCACCCATCCATCCGTCCTTATCAGAGTAGACTGCTGTGTTATATGTATACGAAGTATAGGTAGGTACCGGTAGGTAGGTTGATTGCAAAGGTTCCCCCCGCGGGGGGGCGTCATCATCCTACGGAGCGACCCAGACCCAGACCCAGACCGGCCGGACCCGCCCTCATCCTTCCACAGCTAGGAGCCTCAGGCGCCTGGCCTTCCCTGCAAGGCAAAGCAAAGTAGAGTAGAGCAAAGCAATGCGCGGAATCCATCGCCGGCGCCGCTGGGAAATTGGTTTGATGAGTGGTGAGGGGTCGGATCTCGACAACAGCAGAAGCAGCGCGCGCGCATGATGCATGCATGAGAGGTCGCTTTGTCGAGATGAGTTGGGTTGGGTTGTGCGTGTCCGTCGGATCGTTGTACCGTAGATGATTCTGAAATCGAATTCAGATTCTGGCTTGCGGGTTGCGCGCGACGCGGGATGCGGATGCTCTGATGATTTTCATAAGGAGGTATCCTTCCTGTCGCGGTGGACACGGCGACTGGCTTCTGGGGGGGTGGTACCGGAGCTGGAGCTGGAGCTCTCTCTCGTTCTCGTCTCTGGACAGGAAGGTCGAGGAGCTCCTGGGAAGGGCACGGAGGTCAAGAAGCAGCCAGGCACATTCTGTCTGTGGCCGTTGGGGTGGCATGGCATGGAGCGCGATAGCCGGAGTCAAAGTGTCTGTCTGGGGTGGTGTTTCTGCCAGCCAGCGAGGAGCCTCAGCTCACACGAAGCATGAAGCATGAATCACACACGAACAGCGTGCCTCTCCTCACACAACCTACGGAACGACCACTTCTGTGACAGTGCATTTCAAGTACGACATGTGAAGACGCTGCTCATTCACACCACCAAACTCATCTCTTCTTCGAAACTAAGCGCAAAGCTCAGGTATCAATGAAAAGAAATGTCTCCCGAGTAGGAGGGTGCTATCAAAAATTCCCCCGGCAGCGACCCCGAAGGATAGCTGACAGTTCTCAACGCCCCGATGTGCAATGGAGGTTTCGTACTGTAAACACCGGCATTCATGAGCGCCATGTTTCCAAGAAGGTAAGTATGAAGAGGGGAAACGGAAGATCAGCGGAGGGAGGCGACCTTAAGTACTTGGGAAATTGGGGAGCTCGGGCCACCTGACGCTAGGCTGTAAATGGCTCTTGGCTTACCACGTGATACAGCGTGAGGAGCGGCACGTGTTATGTAACGCACCGCTTGGCAATCAATGGAAGTATTTTTTCCATAGTCTACTGTACTATCCCCCCCATGAATAAATGTCGGACCCAGTTTAGGCCCGTATATCGTAGAGCGGGGGGTTCTGAATGGCTTAAGGCCCTGTCAACTCTAATGCACAGACTAAATATTGGCTCAAAGATACTTTTCAGGGTTGAATGAATCCTTTCTTATTCTACGTATGTACTACGTACTACGTAGTAGTAGTACGTTGATCGATTTAAGCCCTGATAAGATCCCTTGCGGAATTATACTTTCGATATGTATTCATGGGGGGGGGGGGAGTAAGTAAGGAGGAGTCACTGCAGAACTAGCGCCTTGGCGATAACAAAGGCGCTAAGAGGTGCTTATACTGCCTCTTTCCCCTCTTCCGAAATCCTCAGCCTCACAACGTCGCAATCAGGTCTCTCAACCTCGTCCTCTTACCCACCCGCCGTCCCATAGCATTTTACATGGTTTTCTAAGTACACAGCAATCCAAAAATAAAACACAATAAAATAAATAAATACAAAATAAATAAATAAAATAGCCCCCTTATGTGGCCGCGTGTTGGCCTCCGGCACGGTTCTCATCCAGCTTTAGCTCAAGCTAGCTGTTTTACTGTAAGAGCCTTGCTTGGAACCGGATCTGCCAAATGTTGTACTACCGTACGTACTACGTACGTACCAAAGTCTCTCTTTCTCTCCTACAGTACTGTAGAGTGCACGACGCGCGGGCAATAAATTATGCTTCCCTCTCTTATATTCAAGGGGACGGAGGAGACCCATCCCCACCACTCCTGATACCAGATCGCCATTCCGCTCGGTTTTGTCCTCTGTGTCAGGATCCCCAGCAATCTCCCATCTCTTCCGATTAATACGGTAGTCTCGCTCGACTTGTTTAATTAGCTTTTCCTCGCTTTCCCACCGATGAGCCTGAAGGACCCAAATCGTTGCTGGTTATCAGTGTCGGTTGGAATAACCATCTGCGGCCGTGCAGGGAGATGTGGAATATACTACGTAGTACTACGTACTACCGTACGTATGCAAAGCGTAACGCCTCCTCCGGGCTCGGCATCTTCACTGACTCGATGTATGATATATTTCCTAGTGACTTTTTCGTTTTCGTATTGAGAGAGAGACATAGTTTCGCTTTCTCACCCTTACCACCTCCTATTACTCCCCCCGCAATAATACAGTATGGGATCCATATTCTGCTAACCTCTTGAATCTTTTCCGGATCCGCTTTGATGGCACAATGCCACGCCCCAGCCAAAACCTTTTGTAGCGAGGAGGTGTGTCCACTATTTTCAAATTATGAACTCCCGCGTATCAAGTACGTAGTAGGTAGGCAAGTCACGATGCGGAAAATATAAGTTTTCCTTACTCGTACAAGAGCCGTGACCTGACATACGTAGTATTATACGTAGCGCTCGTTCTTTCATATCGCATGTTTTCCTCTCTCTCTCAAGGGCCTTTGGAGCTCATGTACGTAGTATGATCACGGCCTCCTCTCATAATTCACGTAATAGTTTAAAGAGGCTTATATTATATCAAGAAAGACGGAGCTGACGGGGGAAGCCTATCGATAACCGATACGTAGTAAGTTCTTTTCCGTAAGCTCTCTCGGAGAGAAAGCTTGAGGCTGGCAAGATCGAGCGGATAGATGGATGGCGATAGTAGTATCGTTTTTGGGAGATGCTAGTGTGGAAGGTTTACGAGCTCTTCGGTAGTGCGAGCTGATGAAAGGAGGGTAGGCTTGCAAAGGAAGAAGATCGTGAGGAAAGGGGTAGTAAGGAAGATGACAGTAAGGAAGATGACGATAAGGAAGGTGATGGATCCAACCTAAACCGGTGCAAAAGAGAGATTTACAGAGTATATCCCTCCACCTCCAATCATCTTCCCAATCCTAGCAACCGCAGTCAAAATTATTTTTATTCCCATATTGAAAATCGCCTCACGTCCATATACCGGTACGTACCGGTAGGTACCGTAGTAACATTGAATTCCCGCCTCGCTAAAAAAAAAACTATTTATAACACCCGTACCCCCTTGGTCGGAGCAGGTACCAAGTTCAGCTAGCGGCAGGATTGCGGCTCCTACAGTAAGTAGTACCGGTACCGGTAGTACTCTTCAGTACCTACCTTACCTAGTAACCCGATCACGACCATTCAGTAATACGACCAACCAACTTCTCTTCTCGTGATTTTCCTGCCACTGTACACGCGAATCCTCAAGCACCCACGCACGCACCCACCCACCCACCGACTCGGGACAGTAGGTAACCCGTACAACACTTATCCAACAGCACCCAACCACTTACTAACTAACACACCAATCTTTTTTTTTTTTAAAAAAAAAGAAATGGTATACACGCTCAGAAAAAACACCGCGAGACAAGACCTGCATCACAAATGCAAAGAAAGCATCTATCATCTATCTACCTTATCTATTGCAAGGCAAGCAGCCAAAATTGTAGTTAGTTAGTTCGTAGTAGTGGGGCTTTCTAGCCGAGAAAAAAAAAAAAACTAGTCTTGCACGGCACGATTAGATTACGGTACCGTAGATTTCTTACCGGGTCCGCTTCTACCACTACTGTTACGTACGTATCGGTAGGTAAGGTACGTAGTAGGTAGGTAAGTCCCGTCCTGTCGAGCCAGCGAAAAAGCACGTCCATTCCCATTCCCCCCCCCCTTAAAAAAAGTTCCCCCTTTTTTCTTTTTTTTTCTTTTTTTTTAAACTACCGACCTGCTAGTAGTACGTCCCAGACGTAAGTACCTATTACCTCTCAAGGGCAAGCAGGGCAAGCAGGGGGTTTAAAGTACTACCAAACTTTCAAGGCACCCTCGAGGGGTACGGTAATACTACGTACCTACCTACCTACTACCTACTTACGCCTGTACCTACCTACCTACCTACCCTACCTACTGTCACTACCGCACAGGACAGAGAGGAAAGCACCAAGCACGCATACCGGTCCCGGTACCGGTACACACAGCCAGGAGCGTCGTGGTGGGTTTGTAAGTCGCCGTCTGACATCGGGGAGGCGCGTTCTTGTATTTATCCTGCACGGAGAATGTGTGCGTGTGCGTGTGCGTGCGTGCGTGTGTGCGTGTGTGTAATCAATCGGTGGCGTGCGTGGTTGTAGTAGTACGGTACCTAAGTATATCGAGTTTGTGAAGGGTGGAAAGCTTACCTACCTGGAGGTACGGACGGTACTGTCCCGCCTCGGGTCGGTGGTGCCGACTGGACTAACTACTACTAACTGACTGACTTACTAGGTAGTACATACAGCAAGCAAGGCGGTGAGAAAAAAAATATATATACGAAAAGTGAAAAAGGGGGGGGTTTTTTTTTTTCAAAATATTCAACGACACGAATTTAAAATAATAATCGGTGGTAGATCCCATCACTACTTACTTCGCGCTAATAATATATAGAAAAAAAAATTCGAAGAGTTGACCCGTATGGATTACTGAAGAGTGCTACCTAGGAGCCGCAATCCTGCCGGCCTTTGACTTGTACTCCGACCAGGGGTACGATTATTGCAACCTCCTTTCTTATCTAATTGTATAGTAACAAGATCAGCGTATAAGCACAAATGCACGTGTTATGTACGTACGCTCGGCAATCAATGGGAGTGAAGATAGACGTATTGGGATTCAGAAGAGCACGGTTGTATTCTTTCACCCTACCCATCTTACCTTACCCCCCCGAACGGTGAAATCGCTCGTGAGCAGCCATCGCGAATGCAGGCATGACAGCACCGCACTCACTACACTGCTCCCGATCGCCGTCATCTTCCTCGTCATCCTCCCACACGCCATCCTCAGCAATGGTGTTCTGCGTCGGGCGTATCGTGTTATCCTCCGAGCCAGCAGCCAGGAGGGCACTGTCCGATGCTTCATCTCCAGCACTTGGATCGGCTCGGCCAGTGTCAGGTGCCGGTAGCTCGCTGCCGGCGGTCTCCTCCTCCGCAACGGGGTCGGGAGGCACATCTCTATCCTCCACTTTCCACTCCTTGAGTACTTCCTCCTGTCTCTTGAACATGCGTCCGATGTCACGCCCTCCCCCTTTACCGTCCTCGCTTGCGGCTTCGACCATATTGGTCACTCCGACATTCACCAGACTCAGGTTCCATCCCGAGGGGTAGGGATGTAGTTTGCGGAACATTGGTATGAGCGTTTCTTGGACGAGTCTCTCCACGGTAGCATCGATACCATCCTTCAGGTTGAACACGGCGCTCGGGAGAGGTCCGGACCTCGATATGCGGTTGAATGACCTCGTTCTGGTTCCGTCCGCATTCAAGGGAGGTCGCGGTCTCGTAGATAGACGGATCGTCTTGGGATAGGCGGTCCATCTTTTGGTGGTGGCGTCGGCATCCTCGTCGTCCTCCAGCAAGTCTGCGTGCATCCGCTTGACCAAACTGGTAGCAAGCGCCCGCAGCTGCGTTGAAACCTCGGGAAGCGTATCGAGCCGGACATAAGAGTCCTCAATACTGATCTGAGTTGGCACGTTCTTGGCCTTGTGAACTTCGGTGTCGTCGATGCCATTGATCAGACCCCACGCCTTCCCACCGATGCCTCGTTCTGCGCCCGGGCCTCCGAGTATCTTTTCCAGAAGCTCGGGGCCCATGCCAGAGAACAATCGGGCATCGCGGACCGTGACCGATTCCTGGGTACCACCATAGATCAAGCCCGCGTCGAATTCGGCCGGGCGGGAGAGGAGGTGGTTCCGGATTCGCTGCGACATCTTGAACCCAATGCCCGGAATCTTGCCAATGTCATGGCTATCGACGAACCTCGTCACATTGCTCTCGCTCGCTCCATGTGGCACGTCTTGGGAGCTGACATACGGGGGGAGTAGGGTCGTCTGTCCTTTCGGTTTGTGTCGATTGCCAACCAGTTTGCTGAGCAATTTGTTGGTCGAAATCCCCACGGTTGAGGTATAGCCTCGCACTTCCTCCAACTGCCACCGCATGTGTTGCGCGAGATGGGACGCCAGAATCAGGCGTGTCATGAGCCCCTCGTTCCCATCGTGGCGTGGGTCAGCCTGGAGGGGCCCGTCGGGTGGGTATCCACGGCCGGCGATGGCGGTGGCATCGAACGCAAAGCCGACCGTCGGATCATCTGGCCTCAGCTGAAAAAACGCGCGGGGGAGGTCGTGTGGATTCAGGAGGGCGATGTTGAAATGCACCATGTCCGACACGTCCATGAAGACCTCATCAAAGCCCAACCGCTCGACTTTCCCGCTCCAGGTGAAGGATTCTAGGAATCTGTAGTTGGACTTGGAGGCATCTCGGAACCTGCCCAGTTCCTCTCCCAAGACGATGACCACGTCGGGACAGATCTTCTTCGCGTCCGTGACCAGCTGAAGCTTCTTCAAGCCCCGGCGTCTGGCTTCGTAATTGCAGGTGACGATGATTTGCTTCTGGGGCCGGCTTAGTGTCTTGGTTACAGCCGACGGGAGGAGGCGAGGGGGCGAGGGGGATGATCGCATGTCATGTTTACCTGTTGCACCGCCTACTTACTGCCCGCGTCAGCTCGACTCTATGTGTGGCGGTCGCCTTCCTCTACTGCTGCTTGCGTATGCCGGGAACACTCGACTAACCAAAGGCAACGACTTCAACTCGGGCCGCTCGTGCTCAAAGACGGCCGCGTAGAAACAGTCATAGTCCTGGCGGATGTCAGAAAGACGAGATCGGGTATGCGAACACGAGGCTGTGGGCCACGCCATGCTGGGCAAGTTACGAAATGGATGATTGTCCGGTGGTCGTTTCTCTTTGGGGGCTTGGCCATCATCACGACTGCGGCCGTTTGGAGTTGAGGTTGTTGACGTTGCCGCCGCCTCGGACGGAGGTGGGGGGGGGGGGGGGGTGGGATGGTACGTCAGGGCTACGGGAGGTGTGGCGCGTCGGGCGGAAGAATCTCCCCCAGGCAGCGGATTGGATGGGATGGGATGGGATTAGATTGGATTGGTTGGACCTCGGCTCATGCTATGCTATGCTATGCTATGCTGTGCTATGCTGTGCTATCCCGTGCTGTGCTATCCCGTGCCATCCCGTGCTGTGCTATAAACTGTTTCGAGCTAGTTCTCCTTCTTCATCAAGCTAGCTGTAGGTACTCTCCGTACCGCTCCTTTGTGGAGGCTCCTTTGTGGAGGAGTCTCATCCCACCCGCCTATCGATATCGGCACGCGATAGCGACGATGGGCAATAAGCATATTTGACTAATTTCCGTTTACGTATCGACTCGATGGAGGATTTGGTCCATCTACGATCGAATGCTTACGACAGCTTGGAGCTTTGCTTAGCCTTTACCTTTGCCTCGATGGGGGGAGTGGATGCTGGATTACGGATGAGATGGGACGGATGGATGAGATGGATGGGATTTAGGATTTATTGTATCGGGCAAGATTTTCCAATCTGATGGCTATTCTTGGGTACGCGGATGTCCTAGTTGGTAATGGGAAGATTGTATTAGGTATTGGATAATGTGTCTAGTGTGATCCTCGGACCGACTTGTGGGTTCGGGGGGTTTGGGGGGTTCGGGGGGTTTTGCGGGTTCGTCGCCACTCTGTGGGTGGGTTGCGTGTTTTTTTCCCAGTGCCCAGTCCAGTGCCCACGGGTCGACTCCACTTGACCCCACTCGACTCCACCCGCGACCCACTCTCGAACTCCACCCGTCTCCACTCTCGGCTCCACTCTCGACCCCACCCGCGACCCCACCGTTCAGATTCCAGATCGATGGCGGCCAAAAATAGATCCGCCACCGAAGCCACCGAAGCCACCGAAGCCACCGAAGCCACCGACACGAGCCCCAACAATGGGCAGAAAACTCCTGAGTTCCTGTCCATCCGTGCCAGCCTGGGTCCCTTGGATCCCCCCGGGGGCCCCTTGGGTCCCTGGGACTGAAATAGCAGCACTATTGGCGTTGGCATTGGATTGGGCCATGGAGTCAAGTCTCAAGTCGCCATCCAAGAAAGTCTATCGGCCAAACAATACAGGAGAAGCAAGTAAATACCCAATGAATAGAAATACCTGTTACACCCACATATATATTCTTGCATTGCATCGTTTCGGATTTGGTGTCTCTCACCCATCCCATCATCTGCCCGCGGCCACTCATTCCCCCTACCTTCTCCCCCTACCCCCTCCCCTTTTCCCCCCCCCCTTCAGCAAACCCCCCTTCAATAACCCCAACAACCCTCAAGGGCCGTCGATCAAACATACCAAAAGCTTCGTTGATACATAGCTCCTGGCGCCCCCCTCTCTCTGTACTATCTACGGAGTACAGACAGAGTACCCGTACCTATACTCTATCAAATCGCCCAACTGCCTGCCTACTCACCCACTCACCCACTCACCCACCCTCCGTGTCTGCTTGCACTCGCTTTCCTCCTTCCACCACCTCCTCCACCACCTCCTCCACCACCACCTCCTCCACCACCATCATCAACATGATGCTCGCTCCGCTTACAACGTGTCCATCAACCACCATGTCGCTCGCTTCGACTCCTTCCATGCCGCCCAAGAGACCTCGGCTGTCCCTCCAGACCAAAACACCGACTGCCCACACGCTGGGGAAGTCCGCGACGGCCTTGAAGTCGGATTTTGACCCATCCTCTCCGACTGCATTCAACACCCTCTCCAACGCATATGCCGCCGCCATCGAGAATGCGTCGCCCAGGACAGCGCGACCTCTGGCAGACAGCAAGTCAGTAACAGCGAGACGGACCCCCTTGCGGCTCGAGACGGCCAACGTCTGTGGCAATAGCGACTATATCCACCCATCGCAACGCACCCAAACGCCGGGACCTTTCTCATCCATCTACCCAGATACACCCAGCTCGGCCTTGTCCAGTAGCGTGACCCTCGCAGCCGCCCAATCCCAATCCCAACCCCAACCCCAACCCGAAAGCGAGCCGAAACGGCCCTTCTCATTCACACCACCTCAATCAGCCGCATCCGAGCAGCCCGTTCCCAAAATCTTCACCTTTGCCTCCCAAGATACCACCAGCTCCTCGCCCAGCACCCCCAGGACGCCCCGACGTCGCTTGACCTTCGGCAGCCAAACCGCGCCCTACACCCACCCCCGAGCCTTGCGCAGCATCCTGCGCAACTCGCCTCTTCCTCCCCCCAGCGCCATGACCCCAGCAGCACTGAGTCGGGTATCGATGCGAATGGCGAACAAGGCGTCGAAGAAGGTCGGATACAACGACCCCCTCACTCAAACCATCACCACGAACAAATACGTCAAGTCACATATCGACCTCCTCGTGGAGGACTCGCCGCATTCGGCCACCGACCCGGAGATGGAGAATTTAGAAGCGCTGGACTTGACCATGGCCTACACGGGCGACGAGACGCGAGACGGGGGCCAAACCCCCGGGCCGTTTGAAGAGATGCGCCGGAGGATGGCCGAGAGCGAGTTGGAGAACCCAGGGGCACGGAAGCGCAGGCGCCGAGAGAAGAAGCGCAGGTGGGAGTGGACCATCAGCACCAACGAGACGGGTGAGGGAGATGACGCGCCGGACGGGCGGACGCCGCTGACGGCGGTCATGCGGGAGCGCACGCCAATCACGGCGATCAGGAGCGCATCCATCTCCGATAGCTCGGAAGCCAGCGAGGTGGAAGAACGATGTACCCCGTCGGGGACCGGATCGGGAGGTGGGCCAGGTGAATGAGTGGAATAGGCCTGCGCCTGTGTCTGTGGATAGGGAGCGAGCGAGCACTCGAAGTGGTGATAGTAATGATGGACGGCCGGTGACCTTTCACACATTGTAGATAATGCACTATATATACGCACCTACATACGCAACGGGACGGATTCCTGCAAATAATTCATGAAGGCATTCTCAGGATCATCCGACTTTCCGCGTGTCTATTCCTCGTGTGGGTGTTTCTCTCCCGGCTCTCCTTCCCCCCCCCCCCCCCCCCACCGCGAGCCGCAGCCTCTGTTGACCTCTTGGCGGCTACAGCTTCTCGATGAAGAACAGCACCTGTCTGGCACAGACCTTCGAGAGCGGCGGACCCCGTCCCAAAGGATGGATGGCTCTGTGCAGAGCCGGTCCTCAGCGCCGATCCAAACTTCTCTCAACGACGGCCCTCCCCCCCCCCCAACGTTTCTCAATCCCAGCACATCATCACACTCACGACAGGGTTTCCATACCATACCCAGTACAGCGTGCCTCTCTCTCTCTCGGGGATATCCACTCGACGGTCTTCGTTCCATGTTGTTTTTTGCTGGCGGCTCTCTAGACGAGGTCTCGGGCAGGTAGGTAGGTGGCTGCGTCGAGGGCTGCTGGCTAGCTCCTCCATGTTCTTGCGTCGTCTTCGCCGCTCCCGGGAAGTCATCGAGCTAGATGACATGCCGCCAATCGTCCGGTCGGCAGAGGCTGAGATGTTCTGGGCCGACGCGCAAGGCCCGCGCCGAGTTGGTCGGACAAGTACAGAGGCTCGCTTGTTTCTGAAGCTGCTGCCCGCTGATGAGCCGGAGAAGGTGATTCCCGCCGGATGTGAGCATATGCTCGGTGGATTGGGGCGGGAGCAGCAACGCCTGCGGGATCGGGTGGAGGGGCTGTCGTGGTGGAAGTGGACGACGCGGACGACGCGGAGGCAGGAGGGGGTTTGGAAGAGGATTGGGTGGTTGAAGAGGATGGAGGAGCCCCGGTCTCGTAGGCGTCCATTTCTCTTTTCTTCTGAATCGTGAGCACTATTCACGAGGCGGGGTTCTGACTCCCTTCCCCAGGGCTGCTATACTTGGTGGCACGTCGCAAAAGGATACTGAAACAAGCACCTGTCAAGGTAGGATGGCCTTCTCCCACGTATCTCTCTCGACTGACTCTTTGGTCAGGTTTTGGAGGCATTGGAAGGGGAGCAAAGAGTCAAACTTGGAACTGCACCTCCTCGAGCTCGGACTCCTCTGGCTTGTACAAGGTAACGAACCCGTTGTCTGCCGAAGATGATGGCGACTGAATCCCGTCAGTGTGAAATCTCGCGTGGTGTCCACATCCCGCTGGCTCTCAACGCGTCGCCACATCATCACGCCGCTCTCTCACAGCTCTTCCTCGCCTACTAGGCATCCTCTCGTCACGCTGACCTCGATATCGCCCAAGCATGTCCAGATTCGATCCGAAAGAATCTCAAAGACGACAAAGACAAAGATAAGCCCTTACAAGGCAAATGCACCTTGCGCTTAACATATGATTGGTCAAGCTATCGACCCAGTCCTGTAGCGGCGGCCCCTCTCCTCTTCTCACTGCTCACCAGCCCGTGTTACGCGAACGGCCCGGGGGCGGTAGTAACGGCTTGGATTCCGGCACTGTGCATCGCCGCCGCTGCTCCCGATGAAGCATCGGATTCCAGCCGCCACCAAGAGAGAGGAGACTGGTTTCCGCAGCCCTGACCGCGTTGCGGGCCCTCATCGGAAGGAAGGCCGAAGGATACCCGAGGTGAGAAGACGATCGATGAAAACTGGGGCACGTGTTTCTTGTTCCGCATCAGCATCCACAAGTCAGAGAGAGAGGGGGGGGGGCTGGCTACCCGTCGCGAGAACGAAGGCGGAAAATGGTCGCGCGGGTCGCTGCGCGAAAGTTTTCGAATCTGAACCATGCCCCGTGCCATGCCATGCCGTGCCATGCCGTGCTGCAGCAAGACGGGCTGTGGCCGGAGCGATGAAGGATCCAGCCCATATATTACGAGCTCTGGCTATTGCTGACATGGGTGCGTAGAGATTGACATGGGCGAGTAAGCTTAGCTATTAGAATCATCAGTCGCTGTCTTTCCGTGACCACTTCACCCCCATCCTCTTCTCGTTCTTTTTTTTTGTTTTTTTTTCTTTTATTGAAAACTTGGAATTGATACAACAATGCATCATCTACCCTCGCTTTGCAATCCAGCACTTCATTTTCTTTATCGCTCCTCCATAGCGATTGAGAGCGTGTGGGGGGGAGGGGGAGGGGGAGGGCGCGGGAATGGACTCGCTAGCTCGAATGCCTCTCTCGTATGTTGATAATCGACTATGGGGGGAGTGGGTATTTTTTTTTCTTCGTGGTTGGTTTCGTAGACGTTGGCTTTGTCTATCTTGTGGGGGGCTTCTCTTTCCCCTCTCGCTTGATGGGCTTTCCCTTTTTTTTTCTTTTTCTTTTTTCTTTTTTTTTTTCCTTTCCTTTTTTTTTTCTTTCTTTTTTTCTTCTTCTTCTTCTCCTTTCTTCTTCTTCCGTATCCTCGTCTAGAGCCACCACCACCACCAATACAGGTCAGCCGCCGCGCGCACACAGACCGAGCCGAGCCGAGAGTAACGGGACCGACCTAGCAAAACAATCAAGCGCGCTCGCGCGCTATCAAAGAGGCTTCTACTGCTTGGTTGGTTGGTTGGTTGCTGCAAGAGAGGTCTGTCTTCTGTGTGTGTGTGTGTGTTTGCAGACACACGTGGAATCGCTGCTGCGGGCGGGAACGGTCGTTCGAGTTCGGATGCGGGAACCTCTCGGCTATTGGATATTTTACTTGTGTGTAGTGAAGTACGTAGTTAAGCGAGTACGTAAACAAAACAAGCGGGGTCTTGGCGTTCGTCTCTCTGCTGTTCGGATTGTTTTTTTTTTTTTTTTTTTTTTTTTTTTTTTCAAGGATTTTCTGCCTCGGGGCCTGAGCATGACTAGCTCTGCGGGACGGGACGGAAGGGCGGTATCGCATGGCTGTATGCACCAGGTGAGGTTTGCAGCGACGGCGGGGTAGGATGGGATGAGTTGGGATGAGTTGGGTTGGGATCCAACGGTGGTGCGGCGAGCGCGAGCCTAGGGTGAATCACCAGCTTAAGGAGCGCGAATGATGCGTGAGGTGACTTGGGTGGGCACTTGATACTATTTTATTTATATATTATATATATATATATATATATATATATATATATATGTATATGTATGAGGTGTCTACAACCGCGCATTCGCAGTGTTTCCAGGTTTTGCAAGGCTGCCTGCCGCACAGACGAGGGTTGCTGCTGCGGTTGGCTCGCGCCGACTCAGCGGTGTCCTGACGGACAGGGCTTTCTGAGGATCGTAGCGACCGTTGGCCTCGTGGTGATGCCGGATATTAGGCGGCACTATTGTTGTCGATCTGGAAGAGAGAGAATCTGGCCGTGTTGACAAAAGGGGAGAAGGGGAAGCGGTTAGAATAGAGCGTTGCGGGGATGGGGAAAGGGAAACAGAACTGACGCCCGGCCGAGTGTAGAGACAGAGAGATGTCGTTTGTTTGTTTGATCTTCTTTTATTGCGAATGCAGTCTCTGGATAGAGACGTCGAAGAGTCCTCCTGGCTTGCTTGTGCCCGGAAAAGGTCCGGCAGTTCTGTTGCGGTGCATAACTCTGCCATTCGACATGTCTTTTTCTCTCTCTCTCTCTCTCTCTTTTTCCACCTACTCTGTATTCATCCAATCAATATGCACGTCGGGGTGTCGATCATCAGCAGCAAGTAAACAAAGGGAAGCAGAACGGGAGACCAAAAATAAAGGTTGGGTAGTGCCTTCCGCAGGATTCGAACCCGCGTTTCCTGCATCTTCAAACCGAAGGCAGACGCGCTAATCACTGCACTAGGTAGCCTGTGTTACATTATTGGAGATCAAGACATCCCGTGTCCTGCTCTGTGATTTCTCTCTCCAAACATCCAGAAGCGTAAGGATGTGAGGCTGTCTGTCTCGAAAATGTCTCCTCTTTCCCGTGGATCTCCTGGGATTGCCGGAAAATCGTGGGATGCTAGATGATCGAGAAGCTGAGTAGCGTGAACTGCAATATGGGGCTGCTGCCCAGAGGTCTTTTGTGAAGTCAAGGAGTCTGGTAACGAGGCTTGTCGAGAGGCAGACACCTTGCGCTTTTGGGATCAGATATGGATTTGGCATTAGTGCTGGCTTTATTTTGAGCATACAAGGTGTTATAGATAGCCGAATATGCTTTGGTCAAAAGAAGTCCTTTTGGTACGTTGAGATGGCTTCAATGCCGAGGCTGGAACTTGCATGGCATAGCTTGCATTCGGATCTAGACTAGTCGGTCAGGGAGCTGTTATCCTTTAACAACTGAGCTCTAGATCATGATGAAGGTTTACTTGTCAAGGAAAGGATCGTTGATGGTAATGCAGGGACCCAGCAATCCTTCCTTTATTGAGCTTTGAAGCGGCTCCTGAATAAACAGGTTGTTTCTGGGATTGAACTGCACTGAACACCAAGACCAGGATATTGGCATACTTCTGTAGCATTCCTCTAGGGAGGAGCATATCAGGCCCTTTATGCTTCACCCACGGTCCTAAGATCTGGAAAGCAAAAAGACTGCGACGATACGCAGGTCTAGGACTGAGATCAGTTACACCACTTCACACAAAACAAACGCAGCACCTGCACTGCCAATGTCCAGAACAAACAAGTCTGCAGAACAATAAAAAGAACAATGTCCCTTCAACATCTCCTCCCTGAACATCTTTGTCAAGTTGACAAAGGATCTCGTCTATAATGCCTTTGTATGGCCTCACCCAACAACAATTTCTCATCACCGCGGTCTCTCAACCGGCCTGCCACAGCGCATGTTTCTCCATGAACAACCAGACCCAAAGAGCAGAACAGAATCCCAAAAACAAAGGCATGGAGCCATATAAGATACCCGTCGCGGGAAGTGGTGTGCTCCTCAGAACCACCAAACCGATCGATTCCCAACCAAAAGCTTGCAAAGATGTGCTGGATGACCGAGACTTGGTACGTCAGCTGCAACCATTGGGGATCGAAGAAGGTAGAGACTCGCTGCGCGAGAGGAATCTCCATGGAGTCGGCCAGTGGCTGCTGGGAGAATACCGTCAACGGAGTTTCCCGCATCGAGGGCGCTCTGTGCGAGCGCTGTGTCAAGCGGCGCCAGTTTCGAGGTGAGACTCCTCCAGCAGAAAGCTCCGGGGAGAGGAATGGGCAGGATCCCATGAGCCTGGGGAAGGCGAGCATGACGAGACGTCCGAGACGGGGATGAAGCCCACAGAGGAGAGGGTGGTGAAGCCGAAGGCTAGGAACACTAAGTGGGTTTGCCTGGAGAGGATTCAAGACGTTGTGAGTGAAGGGCACGAAGTCGAAGATGATAGTTTCAGTTGCACAACTGATGATCAAGCGATGACTTCCATGCCTTTGTGCGCGCGCGCTTTCCTTTAGTTCCGAGATCCTTCGCTTATCCTACTTCCCTTGTCGACGGTATTAGTGTATCACCCTCTCACTAAAGAAAATTGTACTCGTTATCAAATTGATCATGACTTTAGTACCATCAGTGTTTTCAATATTCTCAATCAAATCCAAAGCCCAGAAACCATAAGAGCTTGGTTGGCTTTTATGACCTGTGGAAGATTCCATCTTTTGTCATTTTATCATGAGTTTGTGTCATGTTATCATGAGTGATTACAAGTCTGGTGGATTATTAATCAAAGAGCTCAAGTGTTATGATCCCACGCTGGACTTATTGACGAGCAACGCAAAGAAGAGAAATCCAAACTCACCTATGCAGCTAGAAGATATTTACTAAAGGGAAAACCAAATCAGGACGAAACCAAAAGATCAGCAATCAAAATACACTATAGCCCCCCTATCACTCAACGCCATGTGACCCCTTTCCAAAAGCCCCAATTGACCATACACAATCGCTGGATACCGAAAATATCGTATGAGCGCTTTCTCGAAGAAGCTTCGCTCCGTATAAATAAAGAGGATAGAGCGCCAGTACCAGTACCAGCCTCGGTAGTCTGTCTGCCTGTCTCACTTATAGTTTGAGCCCGGGACGGTAGGGGACCTCAGCGCCGGGGATGGTGTCTCATGGGCAGTACTGTAAGTGGTATGGGCAAGCGGAGAAGGTAGATCCGGGGACCTTGCAAGGGCCTACCGGTACTGCTACAGTACTCACGTGCTGTTGCTCTATGGCTTGGTGCGATTGTCTGGGCAATGCTTGACATTGACCCAATGCTTCTTGGTGGCCGTGTGTAAAAGAGCGATTGAAGGCAATATTGACTATCACACACCAGGACTGAGCAGAAAAATTCCGGCGACCGAGACGGGTTCATGAGGGAGAGCAGAATAGGAGAGAGAGCAGACTTGACACTCTCGTTGACGGGACAATTTCGCCTTGGTTGAGGCTTAATAGAAGAAGAGCATCTCATCACCTTGTAGACCGTTGGTGATGTTGGAACCACACGCCCATGGTGTGGCTATGGCCGGGCGAAATATATTGCGATATCTCAAAAACCATTGCCCCCAGGTAGCTAGAAGCAAGGCCATCTTGAGAGAAATTCGATAGAATCAAAACCACGTCCTGGCAACTGTTGCGCACTTGTGCATCGTGGTTCTCCTACTCCGGGAACGCATGCTTGACTGTCCAAAACGAGTGCCATCTTCCGACTTCTTCTAGATGCATACACTCGAATGCTGCAGGGCTTTGGGGAAAGATCCGCAGTAGACCGTTGGTTATCTCCAAACGCTTTACTTGATGTAGCCAAGACCGGGTCTTCTTCCGTTTCTAAGTACATCACTCGTCGACAGTCTTAACTCATGTTAGGGTCCCTTGCAATTATCTAGAATCAACGGCAAGCCTCAAGATATCGTACAAACGCTATGCATTGATCCGTCCATATGCTATCTATCTTCTGGCGCCCCAGAGAACAAGCCTACCCTCGTGCGGTGACTCTGTCGTTGGCATTAGTAAGTACCCAGCAAGGTATGAATTGGGGACATACGTATGGTAGTTTTGGTATCACGACCCCCAGTACAGCCAGAAAGTTGATGGTGAAATACGTGAGATCATAATGGGTATAATGAGTGCTCAGGAGAAATAGCACAATCGGAACACTGAGGAGGAACTTTTTCGCAGGAGTGTACTGGGCTCCATTGTCAATTTGCTCCCACATGTTGAGATTGTCGTACGCGCCAGCGTTGAACTCGAAGGGGACACCCCGAACCCAGTGAAACATGAGGAATGAGCCAAACATGTAAGAAATGTTGGTCAATGTCCAGGATGTCTCTTGCGATACTCCAGGAATTATGTCGAAAAGAACTTTGAGCGAAACGATGATCACTAGGTGTATTGTCCAAGCACCTGGGAGCATGTGCAAGTCAGCAATGCTGGCCCGAATATGGGTCGTCCTGAGGCTAGAAACGTAGCTTCCGAGATCCTCGACGTTTCCGACCACAGGGTTCTGGAGATCACTAACCCTTTGCGTTTACCCAATTGGCATTCTGGTTCGGCAGAGCTGCCTGGTCACTCATATGCTCCATCGTCTCTGGCGGTTCCTGGTATAGAAGACTGCTGGACCGCCGCCTTCTGCCGACCTTTTGTTCGCTCATTGCTCTGTACGGACCGCTCGGACGTGGAGGCTTCGAGGTTGCGTCGTAGGAGACGGTACGAGGGAGGAAGATTGGGGAAGACAGTTTGGCGGTGGGGGAGGGTGAGGGAGGAATGATGAAGGTCGGGGGCTCTCTCTGGAGCGTGTCTTCCGCTGTGGACGGCTGTGTAGTTCGAGTCGTAAGCACCGTGGGGGTGGGACCAGCCGTGAGACGCTTCTTCGCAATCCTGCGAGAAATAGACCAGCTTATCAGCCAGCTGTTCAAACGTATAAGAAATCCGTAGTTGTCTGGATGGGATTTGTATGGGAGAGCACGTGTGCCCAGAGATGCCCGGCTGGGGGTGGGGGCTCGTCCGTCCGAGGGAGAGAAGGGGTTGATGGGGCGAAGGCGACTCACCAGTGGATCTGCTGCTCGTAGAGGTCGGGGCTGAGAAGGAGAAGGGGACGGGGACGGCGATGGAGACGGCGACGGAGGCGGAAAGAAGACGCAGAAGCAGAAGCAGAAGCAGAAGCAGAAGGAGATGGAGCTGGATGTAAATGAAGACGAATGCCTGCCCGCCGTGATCTGTTGTTGAGGTTGTGTTATGTTGGAGTTGGAGATCAGACTGGAGGAGGTGCAGAGCTACTCACGTGATTACGTACGTATGCCGGATGACGCCCCGCCGTGCCACAAAAAAATACGGCCTCCATCATATTCACTTCCTCTCCTCCCCAGCCCGCAATAAAAATAAACAACAACATCAACACCAACATCAACAACAGAATTGCCGGTCGGGATCCAGCCATTTGGTGCGGATCCACGAGTAGAAATTCTCGCTCAGCGAGTGTATGCTCATGCAATTGTTCAATCAGAACAAGGTTCTCCGTTCCCTCCACCTCGGGCTAACTTTGTAGGCTCTCTCACCCTATCTTCTCCCTTCTACAGATCGATGGCAGACGGGCAGCCAGTAAACCGTTAATCAGCGATGGCAGATTCGCAACAACAGCCCGTCAATGCTTCACTGGGCTATGCGCAGGGTCAGCCTGCGACCCACGGCAGCGACATCGCATTGAACGAGACCGCCATCGAGCCAAACCTGCAATTTCCACAGTCTGGCCCGGCAGCACCTACCGACCACGACACGGAGGACTCGAGAACACAGCTTACTGGTAGAAAGCGGACTCTGCAGGGTTCTGCTGCAGACGACGATGCCTATAAAGTACCTGATCATGAAAGATCGCGCAAGCGTCTTAAGGATCGTCAGGAACTTTCTCCCGTAAGGCAAGGTCTGTTGGCTGGTATCGCTTCATCTTCTGAGGTACCCGTACCTGCAGACTGTGAGGTCGGCAGCAGTCAACAACCAGCCCCTGCGGGACAAGCATCCGTCTCTACACAACTGCAAGATGAGGCCGAGAAGACTCGGGCACCTGGGGCGCAAGCGCTGTCACTTTCCAGCTTTGTGGGCAATGGTCATGGTTTCTCTACTGAGAACAGTGCCGCACAAACTGCAGCTCATTCCCCTCCGCCTGACCCGAGCCTGAAAGCAGTACCTCGATCTTTTGAACCATTTCAAAAGCTAAGCACAGACCAAGAGGCAAATCTGACTGGAGAAGAGAAAGGCCGGTACCTGAAGGCACTGTTCACAGATTCCAACCCAAGCTCAAAGGAAGCCCCGCGTAGCGCCGTTACCATGGTCTCTCGGGAACTACCAAATTCTTTGGAAGATGCATACGGGAATCCCGCCGTGACCAACGACTCACGAAAGGCTATCCAAAATTTGCCATCTCACCCTGCGCCACCGCCAATCAAGAGACACGGGCGCAAAAAGTTGCAAAAAGTTGCAGTCAATGTCGGTACTACGGCTCATCCAGCCACTTCGCAGTCCGATCAATTGAGAGACAAATTGACTGATTACCTCGATGCTACTCGCTTGGCTGAAGCGGCAATTGCGACCGACTTTCCTCTACCCGAAACCCAACGTGAGATCAAGTCCAAGATATCAAAGGGCCTTACCTTATATCCCCGACAACCACCTAAAGTCCCAGAATATGTATCTAGGGAGGGGAAATACATCTTGTCGGAAGTGTTCGATCCAGTTGGGAAGCCTTTCAGAGTCGACGAGTTCTCATTCGAGATTTTCGCTTCACTTTTCTTGAAGAGACACCCCGGTGCTTCTTTAACCGATCGAGAACTGAAGGGAGCCTTTGGGACGTACGTAAATGTATTCTACTCGCATATGACTTCTCCCCCTTTTGGCCCTGTGTTGAATACATGTCTCACAACTGCCAAACCTTCGAAGGCTGCAAAAGTCCTTGCAAATTCTCTGATTACAGGGGAAGAACCAGCTCCAAAGAGCACAGCAGTAGTTGAAGTTTCGGCAAGACCTGGTGTTGATGCATTGCTGCCACCCGTACACACAGCCATAGCCGTTCTTGAAACAAAATTCAACGCAGAGAATGCTAGTAACGAAGTAGACATTGCGATGGGCGAGATAACTACAACCGTCGAAGATACCGATTTGGACTTGAAGAAGGTTCAACTGTTTCTCCAACAAAAATATTTCCCCTCAAAGAGCCTGACCATTCAGCATTGTCTTGCTTGTTCGAGGATCGGACACAACAACTCTACTTGCCCATACATGAGATGTTCCACCTGTGGTGTCGGCCTCCATTCGGACTCTACATGCCCCAAGAAGAAGCGATGCTCGAAATGCCGAGAGGTAGGCCATCAACCAGATAAATGCCCAGAGAAATTATCTCTTCCACGATCTGAGATGTCCTGCGACATCTGTGGCTCATCGGACCATCTCGAAACTCGTTGCCATCAGGTCTGGCGCAGCTTCGACGCCAATTCCCAGAACATATTGAAGGTACAGCATATCCCCTCCAATTGTTACAATTGTGGAGGCGATCATCTGGGACCAGATTGCGCTCTGCAACGAGGTCCGATATACTCAGGCGGGGTGACATGGTCGAAACCCAACCTTTTGAAGTATATCGATTCCACAAGTAAAACCAGTGCGCTGTCTGCTGTTATGGACTACTCCATTCCGTCCAAAGCTCCCAGAACTGGCCGGGTGAATGATCCTATCATGATCGACGAAGACATAGACGATGATGAGTCTTTCATTCGACCAAGCGTGCAGAAGAACCATCCCGCTCGAGGCAGCTTTAAATTCAACATGCAGGGGCCGAATTCAGATAAAGGAATCCATTTCCCGAAGGATGACCGGAAGCTCATCCCTCCAAAGAACATGAATTCAGAGAGAAAACCGCTGAAGAAGAAGAAGAAGAAGAAGAAGAAGGCCAAGCAGCCCCCCCTCCCCGAGCCAAAAGCCCCAAAGTCAAAGAAGGCCAAGAAGGGTAAAAATTCGGGTGGTGGAGGTGGTGCTTGAGCGAAATTCTGTTTTTTCTGATTCTGCAACCTCAACGAATTCAGAGTTCCGCAGTGGAATCCCACTCGTCTCACGCGTGCTCTTTGTCGAGTCTCGAAAGCCATGATTGGCGGAGAACTATGGACGCTACATCCTTGCCGTGTTCTGGCCTTTCTCGGATCATGTTCTTGAGCTTCTCATATCATGGCGTCTGTTATTTCTGTATATCTCACTCTGCGCTGTCTCTCCTCCATCCTCCTTCTCCCTTTTGCACATCAAGATGGTTATGGCGCTTCTTCAGATCGAAAGAGTCGTCGGCTGGCTCATGCCGGATTTCAACCTTTTGATACCATATGTATGCTAGCTTTGCAGGAATGTCAATTCTTGTGCCCCGATCCAATTTCCATGCGAACCATAGTAGATGTAATTTAAGTGGTCGCTCGTAATGAATGCGACCACCTCAAACTTGCTGGTATTTATTTTCGTGACTACCTACTTACTCGGTTCCGACTTACCCTTCTAATTGATCACTGTTGTGCTGGATGTGGTCTGACCCCGTAAGCGAGTTTACCGTTTCCTGTTTCTGCTACGTAGGTAGTTGCGATAGATTAACCCATCCAGTCCGGCAAAGAATTTATCTATCTACCTCTTTATCACGAGCGACGCTTCCAGTTAAAAATGTCCGAGTAAGCAGAAATGCCCAACCTCGTGAGCGAGTACTTTCTTTCAATCGAATATCTTGGCCGGACCCTACCTTTGACGATGGGCACGGGACAGTTACAACATAGCTAGCTGATCTAGCTAGGGCCGTCATTCTACTTGTTTTCAAGTAAGGCATTTATTTGCAAATGACGACGCCGTTATTAGAGGAGGTCCACTTAGGGATCAACAACGAGTAGTCGAGGAAGACTTGTTTAGGTGCCGGTTTCTAGACTAAGCGCAGCTGGGCCCCAAGAGCTAGCTTACGTTGATCGACGGAGTCCTTAATTCTTCGATGCCAATGTGGAAGGGACATTCGTGATTCGTAAGCAACGAACCCCTGGACGCTGAGACTTGGTTCAAGAACCTCCCGTTGCGCTCTGGACATCTTGAAAGGGAAATTGTGCGTCAGGGTATCTAGCTTAGATTTGCTATTTTACACCTGCAACCTCATCAACTGACCTGACCGGGAAGGAAAGGAAAACATGAAAGCCGCTCATGAAATAACGCCAGTCGTTCAAAGCAAAATATGATATTTAAAACATACTCAGGGCTGGAATCCCACCGCCGAATACAAAATGCAAATTTCATCTCACCAATCACCTGGATACCCAGTAGTCTTACTCTCCGGCTACTGTCAAATCCAACGTGGCCAAAGGACTACAAGATGAATTCCTCGTCGAGCCAGTGGCGAAATACTACGTGACCTTCTTGAAGACTGGGTTTTTCAGGAACTCGAACGATAATTGCCGCGTGCGAATGAGTGCATTTGTGGATGTAGACAGGGTACTTGCGCCAGCCTAGTGAGTCCAGAGCTTGAATCATGCGGAATTGATACGGTGCAAGAGCCAGGATCGGAATGTCGTGCTGAAGACTGGCTTTTTCTTTGCCGCCGCCGACAGCATCAGATTTGTGATTTCCAAGGATTGCTGGGGCTCTCTCCAGAACATGCGAGCCCGGCTCTGACAGGGCCGCCTCTTCTTCGGTTCCTGCCACCAGATACTCGTTGCTCTGGGCACTGTTCAGATTCTCATAGACATCCTCGACTGCCTCTCTCATCCCCGTGAGAAGTGGGACTCTGTAGTTGCCAGCAAGACCACGCTCATGCAGCTGGATTCTTCGGCTGCTCCGGAAAGACTGAAAGCCAGAATTGGTTAAAAAGATAACAGCCCCGATAGGAATGAGGAAGATCATGGTAATCAGCAGCGGCAAGCGACCGATTGTGGTTTGGCTGCCTCGGATCAAGGTGCCATAGAAACTTGAATCGTTCTCTTGGGGGTCAAGGGGGGCAACGGGCGCGTCTGGATCAAGGATAACATCTTCATACCCCTTCAAGTAGTTGACCTTGACCTTGTCTATATTGGTGAACGGATCTGTTTTCGAGATTCCTGTGGTATAGTAAACCGCGCTTCGATCGTTGACGATGTTTGTGTAGAGAGTTCGGCGCTCGAACTTTGCCAATCCTTTGATGAAGATGGACTTGGGGTCTGCAAGAACCTCCAACAATGGCATGCCCGTCTCTCTGAACTTGTCTATAGTGAACAGTTGCCGACCAGAGGCTGAGAGTGTTCGTGCCCCGAGCACGTTCCAAACATGGTTGTGCCAGCCTCTGAGAGGGCTTCGAACACCCAAATGAGGGGTAGCAAAGGTGGTGAAGTTCTACCAAAATCAGCATAAGTTCTGGCGAGTTTGTATATATGACCTCAGAGGACCTGGACACTGCCCTTGACTCCCATCTGATCTCTTCTTTGGCGTGCTTCGGGGCAAACCTACTACCGGCTTGATGCTCTTGAAAAATCCTTTGCTATCAAGTAAGCCAACAGCGTACCGGGCGACCAGCCCTCCTAGGGAATACCCAACAAGGGAGATTCTGGTGATTTCTTGTCCAGCCTCTGCCAACTTCTCGATCTCCTCCTCGACTGCACGACACGAGGGTAGTCAGCAATTGCCTTTGCCTCTACACCAAAATATTCGGGAGTCGAGAAGAAAGACATCATGAGGAGCTCCCTAGTTACGTACTCTCCTGGCAGACGCGCTCGCCACCACGCTCAATTCCATCGTAGGTAAAATTTCCGCTGTTGCGTTTGGCGACGAGGATATGTAGGCTTTCTTTGGGGTGCTTCTCGCGAAGGGATGCTGCCATCACCTGCAAATGATTTGGGTTGCCCCATAAGCTGTTGATAGTTGACTCCCATCAGCGCGTGAACCTAGGCCGTACAGGCAAGGGAGGGTAGGGCAGGGTATAAGATGGGTATCATATCGTACCCGTGAACTAGAACACACAAGTGCTGCGCTTCACGACTTTCACCGGTATAGTCCATGACTATTACAATCGAGATGAAGGTCCGATCTAAAGACCCAACGATAAGAAGGAGAACAAGATTAACGCAGCGGTAGAGGGGGGGTTGGTTGGTAGTCTACGTCGAACGTCAAACGGCGAACGGCGTGGCGTCGAGATGAACTGCTTGAGAGGCTTGGAGGGCGATTCGAGTCGATTAGGTTGGTAGCGCCGTGGTGTGATGCGAATGCGAATGCGATAACTGTACAACGCAAGTAGGAAAGGCAAAGGATCGTTTATCAAAGATTGAAAATTACTGTACTTGCGAAAGAATGTGAAATATCTGAGGAGCAGACTGCTTCACCTTCCCCGATAACGGGAACACACATGACCTCACTTGATAAGACTCTTGGCGGCGGAAGGCCGTGCACGTGCTAGCGTGATAAGAAGATATGTACCAGTATAATCATATATAATCGTATATATAATCGTATACTGTACGAATAACGCCTACCAGATGCATATTATTTTAGTATTTCTCGATGTTTAGTTTGAAATATATTTATATAACGGTGTCCTTTGCATAGATTTTGTCGCTATAAGTGATACTCGAGTTGTACTAGAATGTTCGGATATGTTTGGTTATGCGGCAAGTCTTGATTGATAGCTCCGGGGCCAAAGGACCTCGCTTTGCAACGGTCGTAATGCAAGGGTGCCTTCCGAGGCCCTTAACATTAACGCTACATTGATTTTCTACAAGAGATGCACTGTAAAATTATGTGGAAAATGTCAACGCTTCAGCCCGGCCGCAAGCTAAAACTGACGGCCCTCCGTAAGCTGCGTGGTAAGTTTTCCGGACTTCGCGCTTACAAATCCCGTCTATTCTTGTATAATGATCTTCTATAGCTAAAGGTCGCCTTCGAGCCATTTCTGGGGACCTGATTTCCTTATACAACTCGAGTTGGCGTTTTTCCTTTGACTCTTACTCGCCCGCAATCTCACTCCACCTTCGTAACAGCTTTCGTAAGTCCGTATCTTTCAGCCTTGAGTCATATTTTCCTCCGTAAATTGGGAGCGTAGATCGAAGGTTCTTTCTTTGCGTTTTCGATATATCGAGCAAGTAAAAAATCGACCGAAAGAAGAAGGATCGCGGACGGGAGTGCAACTGGAGCAATAATAACGAGCGGTATCGTCGCCTGACAAGCTTTCGTACTCGTATGTAAAATCCTCCATCCATTCCGTAATTGATATCGTCATCGACTCCGTAATCGGGTCGAATTCCAGCTATGGAATGCTTCCCAAAGCTGCCCGGCTGTTTGCCACCCTCCGCATATCCGTATCCGTGCAATATTGGCCGTATCGTCCGTAACGACTGCTCGAGTTGAATATCGTCTGTAAAAAATACCGGCCTTAACTTTATGTTATCATCGAGCTTACTCGAGCTTCCATCGTATCCCTTCTCGGTTTTATTGCTTAGTATCACAAACTGTTGGTTACACAATAGGGTGCACACGTGAGACTTGATACGAATGGCAAGTGGTTGCATTCGTGGTGTTGTTAAGTCTGGGGGAGGAAGCTATTCTAGCTGCGAGGTGCAGTTATATGTAGTTGGGTGCACGGGCCACTATGTGGTTGCTATGGCAAAGGTGCACGTGCTAAGCACGGGCCACCTTTATCCCCGATCGAGTCTTTAACTCCGATCCCTTCATTCTTACACTCGCAATTTTCTCTTTTGCAATTGCAATAGTTGCAATTGCAATTGCAATTCTAATACAAGTAAAAATAGCTCTTTCATTCTTAACGTTGTTAGTAAAAAATACTATCACTGTTCCTTTTAAATTCGGCCTGACTTTCTTATGCTTTTTCCACTCACCCTTCGACACGTACGTTAGCTTTGTTCGTATTAATAAAGGTCGCTAACGATTTATTTGAATTGATTTTCGTTATAAAGTCGGCTAAATTATCTTTTTTTTTAATTTATTTGACCTTTGCGAGCTCTCGGCGTTCGTATGATTATTTAAAAGCTATAATATCGATTATTAAGCACTTCTCCTTAGTGGTTCCGAGCTTGATAAAGCATTCGTAAAAGGAATACGAGTCGGTACAAACGATTATAAAGACCTCGAGGACTTTTAGCTTGTTAGTAATCATTTTAAAAGTAATAGCTACGCAAATAGCAATATCTATACCAGAGACTATGCTATAGATTTCCGATGCAAGTACAAAGCGTATCACTCGCTTGCATTTTATCGAATTAACAGCGATAAAGTTCCTTTAGATGAAAAAAGAGCTGTCAAACTTCTCTTCGATTGCTAAGATGATTAAAAAACCAATTTGTGAATTGCAGTTTTTATTGTTAGCAAAACTCTCGTCTACAAATACGAACAGCTTCGCTGAACGTAAGTCGATGTTGAAGTATATTAAGCCTCGTTGCTAGTTTTCTATTATTTATGCAATTCTCTTATTTAAGAAAGTGATATCGTTTAAAGTAAGGTCCTTTTGCTGAATTTGCGCGGCGGTAGATAAGTCGAAAATAGCTTCGAGCTAACACAAGCTTGCAATGTAAGCTGCACGTGCCCGCTGCTTTAAGTAGTTGTTTTCATTTTCGATGACTAGCTCTAGCTTCTTCCTTTAGTCCTTTTGCTTGAGTAGAATCGAGCTATTAGCGAGCTTCTTTAGTGTTCTTCTATTGAATATTACTTCGTTTTTTATTATAAGCGTCTCTTTTAGCTTAGCGTTGAAATCAGCTTTCTTAAGCTCTTGCTCTTCTAAGTCATTGAACTCTTTATCAGCTATTATTAGCGTGTCGTCTGTTTGCATTCTAATGATAGCGAATTTGCTAGTTGTAAAGATTAACAAACAAAGGTCGTATGTAAAAGAGACTATGAATAGCTTATCTTTATAGTGTCTATAGTAAGTGTCTTACTAATAGGTACTTGCTTCCGCAATCTCGTATAAAGGTTTACGAATTAATAAAATATAGCCCGGAGAGTATAAGTGTTAGAAGTTCTTAAGCAAATACGCCAAGATCATACGCTCGAGGTAACGCTGACTCGATACGTAGGCTTGAGTAATATCTCGCAAAGATACTATTGCTTGATTAAAGGATTTTAAGAATAAGGCTAAAGAAATCATCAAACGCTAGTTATTGCGCTAAATAGTCGAAGATTAAGTAAGAATATCATACTTGCTTTCGTCGCTTTAAGCTTGAATAATAAAGCGTGATTTTTCGTATAGTTCGAAAGTATTCTTGCCTTTGACTTCATCGACCATTCGAGAGTTGAATATGCGGCTTGTTCCGTAGACTGCAAGGTTGTATTTTACAACTTCAAATACCTCTTTCTTTATTAAGCCTTTTAGCTTTTAAAGGCGTGATTCTACGAATTGCTCGCCGGGTATAGTGATAACTCTTTCGTTTTTAAGCTTCGTAAAGAGCGCAACATCAGCTTTTTCTTTATGAGTAAAGAATACTATAATGACATTACTTTCGTGATTGAGAAACTGCTCGTCAAAATCTTTGAACTCCTTTACACTTGCAAAGAGGTGACGAAGGCTGTAACGAACTGCTAAACTGCTTTTTAGTTTGCGCGGGCGTGATCTAATCTTAGTAGCTAGAATAGTAAGTTGTTTTGTAAGCTAGATCGGTAGTAGTTCAGCTTCAGTTGACCGGTTCGGTGATAAGGATTCTTTAAGGTTTAGCGTATCTGAAGGTGTTTTATAATATAGTTTGACAACTATTAAACGGAATTCGCTAATTCGGTCGTTTACGAGTACTTTGCAAGTCTTGTTTTTACGTGCAATTAGCTTGTGCGGTCCGGTCTATTCGCTTTTGCTTAGTTTACCTTTTACCTTTTTATAAACTCTGACGTCTGATTGCAAAAAGAGGTTAAGGGTTTCTAAAGTATTTGGTCCATTTCGCATTGCTAAAGCGTCTTTGACTTTTCTTTCAGCTTGTAGTCGACGAATTTCTTTGGTTGCAGCTCGAAAGGCTTCTCGTCTTTTTGTTATAAATATTACTAAAGAATCTGTTTTAGAAAAGCGTAAGTATGCGCTATATACGAATAATGTAAAGATAATACTTCCGGGGCCGGCTGTATCGTTGATAGCTTTGAAAGCTATTTAGAGTACTATGTACTTGTCAACTCTCTCACTTGCTAGTTCTTCTTTTAGAATATTGTATATTCTTCGGAGAGGGCTATAGTAGCGCTCTACTTTTCCGACGCTATTATGAGCTTCTACTAAGACTACTTTGATCTTAGTATTCATCGAATTAGCTTGTTGTTTGAACTCTTAAGAACTTAAGTTGGTTTTAGCGTCGATTACGATTACATTTAAAAGGCTTAAGTATATATCGATTTAATAATAACGTACTGTATCTTATACGTGTTTTGCAATCATATTCTTAAGGAATCCTCCAGAACCGTAGTTTGTAGCTGAGTTTACGATATATAGTACGAGGTCTCCGTTAATATACATGATATTAATAATAATCGAATAGTTGAATTCATATTCATCTTTTAAAAAGATTTTAAATCTGCGAAAGGCTTGCTTATATAATTGATATTGCGCATAGTATTTAGTAATCTTCTCGAGGATGTCGGCTTTAAACTCTTTACTTGCAGCTTTAAGAGTAATAGCAAAACGCTGTACTAAAAAGTGTCTTTAGCGGCGATGAATTTGACGCAATTCTCTTTCGATAAAGTAGCATGTAATAGTTTCTTGCTGATTAAGCAGTAAAAATGGGTAGCTTTATTTTCTAACAACTAGCACGCTATTGTAGCTTTGCACAAGCAGGTTTCTTAAATTGTTAAAATATACGCTAAGAGAATCTATGTCTTTTAGATAAATTAAGAAAAAAGTGTTAGTATTAATTATATGAAAAACAATCTTGCTAATTAGTGTTTGTACTTCTACGGTTCCTTTAATAGTAGCCGAGGTTTCGCCGAAGCTGATAGTACCTCTTTGAATAGTAATCACTTGTAATTCAAGTAAGTAATACTAAAAGGCTTTTACTTATGCTTTTCTTGCAGAAGACTTACTTGCAGCTCCCGAATCGAGAAAGAACTTTTAGAATCGGTAAGCTGAATACCGAGAGTGTGAAATGTAAGTCTCTAATAGAACGGTCTTTGTCGGTTCATTTATATCGACCTTAGCTAGTAAATAGTAGTTGGGGGGAGCTCACTCGTGAACCAGGGTTCACGGGCCACTAGGCATGCTTCGCTTAGCTTGTCACAGGTCCGGGGACCCCCCTAACTTGCTTGTAAACCTAGTATTTAGCTAGTACACGTGACTCCTTCCTATTGTATAGAAGGAGTCAGCTTTCTTAGAGCAGATTAATCAATCAGAACAACAAGCAACAATTGAGTATTTTACCACCGAGTGTTTTGCAATTGCAAGTACTTTGACGACGTCACGACTTTTACGAATTATTACGAGAGATCGCTACCGGCGATCCAACACTGATCAGTGATTGTTTAATCGCCAATAGCATTACTCAATCACAGAGAAGCTAGGATCGATCGAAGAGTTGGGACTTTACTTCTACTTACTCGAAGAGTGTAGAAGTGGTGAGTTTGCGCTATAAGAAACCTGCAACCGCAGTGAAAATCACTTACCTCTTACTACGATACCTCCCTCCTTATACAACGGAAGAGCGATTCCGTACCAAGTCGCTTTCTCACACCTCGATACCTTTCCCTTACAACGGAAAAGCGATTCCGTACCAAGTCGCTTTCTTACACTTCGATACCTTTCCTTTACAACGGAAGAGCGATTCCGTACCAAGTCGCTTGCCTATACTACCGCCTTACCTTTTTACACCTTTCTACGGAAGAGCGATTCCGAACCAAGTCGCTTTCTTACACCTCGAATACCTCATTTACTACGGAAGAGTGATTCCGAACCAAGTCACTTATATACAACCTATCAACGCTGTAGAGCCACGCCAGCTACACACAGCATACAATACTACGCCTCGACGCCCGGCAATATGCAATCAATCGATCCCCGAGGCAGCGAGAATATACAAGGGGCTTCTAGAACGTCAGCAAGAGCTCAAACAACAGGGATTCAGGCACCTCGAATCTCTACAAAATTTACGGACCCTTTTTCGAGACCCGCGGAACCTCCCTCAATGCTACCGAACGATCCAGGCACTCGGAATACCTTCGAAGATACGTCGGACCTCGGTTTTGACCTCGATTCACTACCGTATCCAAGGCCAGAGAATCATACAAGAGCAAGGTTAATTATCGAGGACTTCCTGGACATAAAGAGTGAGGGATTAAGAGACCACGAGCTTTGGTCTTTATTCCGACACGCTTTTGCTAGATGGAGCGCGGACGAGTTTTCGTTAGCCGCCAAACAAGCTCACGGCCACCGAAGAAGCAAGTTTACCTTGCTTATTAGACTAAGGGATCACCTAATGTCTAAGGGAGTTTGGTGCCTCCCAAGGCAAAGAGGCTACGCCAATGGACTAGCCTCAATCATCCAAATAAAGAAGGAGCACCAATGGACCTGGGAAGAACAGCGAGAGCAATCAACCGAAAGATTTGACTCAAGGTGGAACGAGGTTACTATTGCACGCCTTAATCGTCAAACTGAGGAAGTCGCCAAAATTCAAGGTAAACAGGTCGAAAGGTTTCCTCAATCAGGCTTGATTCGTCTCACTAAAATCATCGACGAACCTTTACCTTCACCTCCACCTTCAACTCCAAATTCGCTTCGCCAATCACTCCGAAAAGAGTACGAAGAGCTCCGACGCCAAAAAGAAGCAATTGCGCGAGACCTCGACGACCTCCGAAACCTGACAATTACGAAGGACGCGCAACAGCGTAAGGAGAGAATCGAGGAAGCTACAAGGCACAACGAAGAGCTCAAGGCAGCAAGGCAATCATCATCACGGCGAAGTTCTCGCGATTCTCTTCCCTCTCCCGTTCCTTTACTACTTCAGCCACCGATTTCATCACCGAGGGAACACGCTAAGGAGTACGACGAGCCCTTGAAGGTTGAGGAGATTCCGGGCAATTTTTACTCTCACCAGGGCAATAGATACCGCCAAGACCGAGCCCAGGAATACGAGCAAGCTCTTGCTAGCAACCCCAACGATCCTGACGGCTCGGACGGTGATCCAGAAGGAGGGAACAGAAGGGGAAGCGAGTGGAATGGGCACGGGGGAAGAAGAGGAGGACACGGTGGCCCGACGAAAGGAGGGGAAAACGGACCTCCAAGGGACCCTAGATTCGGAAATGAGCCGCCAAGGGACCCTGGACAAGACCCTGGACGAGGATACGAACCCCCCGGCGAACCTAGACCAAACCGACCCCTTACCAGCACCCCTTTTTCGAACCGAGTAATAGCCAGGCACACCTACAACACTCCGGGAGCCCTTGACGACGACGACGATTTTCCTGAGCTCGGAACGGCAGACCCTCACCCAAAAGCGAAGGAGTTAGCTCTATTTGCAAGGAGTTTTCCAAAAGAGCTAAAGTATTCAAGGCCGAAAAACGATTTTAATACTCGGCTCAGGATTTTTGCCGATCACGCGTGCCGATACGGGTTGACAACTGACGATTACTTGGCTGCTTTCCCTATTATGCTAGCAAGGGAAGCAATTGGGTTTTATTACAACTACGTGATCAAGACTAAACTGCCTACTTTCAAGGAGAACGCTATAGCAGTCAAGGATTACTTTGAGACTGAACACCGACGCCAAGCTAAATACGATCGGTGGGAAGAGCTTTCCTTAGAGCTGATTCGGAAGGAAAATCCAGCTAATTCGTTAGCTGAATGCTTTGAAAAGCTCGAAAGGGAGTTGAGAACAGTGCAAAGAGCTCTCCGTCCAGGTCTGAAGGACGATAGGAGTCTCGCTGACAAGCTGTATTCAGCTTGTAAAAACGTGCCAGAGACGACTATTGCGCGGATGAACCCCGCAATCACTTCTACCGCCGCAATTGCTGACATTCGCCGAGCAATTGCTTTTGCAACTGAGATCATTCAACCTTTTCCTGAGAATAAGAGCTTACGACCTCCCGCCAAAGCAAGCAGAGCTTACGCGAGCTCTAGCGAGCCATTTTCTCAGCACTCCTCTCAGCACTCCTCTCAGCACTCTCTTCAGCACTCTCTTCAGCACTCCTCTCAGCACACCTCAAGCAAGGCTGATTCCGACGACCTTGAGGACGAGTACGAGTGCTTTATTCAAGGCTGCCAATACGGAAGGGAGCACTGCGAGCACTTCGCAAAGTGACGGGGTTTGGAAAGGAAAGGGAAAGGATTTGTTTCAGGTAAAAGTTTTTTTTTTTTTTGTTCCTTGCGTTTAAATTTTTGTTGTTTTTTATTTATTTACTACCTTCCTTCTTTTCGGTCGATATAATAGTTGGCAAAGCACTGTTTGCCAAAGAAAGTTTTGCCGGTGTCGGTTCATTTATATCGACCTTAGCTAGTAAATAGTAGTTGGGAGGAGCTCACTCGTGAACCAGGGTTCACGGGCCACTAGGCATGCTTCGCTTAGCTTGTCACAGGTCCGGGGACCCCCCTAACTTGCTTGTAAACCTAGTATTTAGCTAGTACACGTGACTCCTTCCTATTGTATAGAAGGAGTCAGCTTTCTTAGAGCAGATTAATCAATCAGAACAACAAGCAACAATTGAGTATTTTACCACCGAGTGTTTTGCAATTGCAAGTACTTTGACGACGTCACGACTTTTACGAATTATTACGAGAGATCGCTACCGGCGATCCAACAGTCTTATCTTCTTTAATTAAAAGGTTTATAGCGTTTAAAGTAGTGAAAGCGTAATAAGCTGAGCGTTTTTACAAAATTGCAATAGTCTCGGCGCTTATCACCTCTTTAGCTTCGGTGAGGAAGGTTTAAATGAAGTAGTTGCGGTTACCGTAGTCGTATTCGTCGTACTAATAGTTTTTAATAGCGTATGTTGCTTGATCTTAGTGATTTTCTTCGTCTGAAATACCTTTTACTCTTTCGTAGTCCGTCAAGAAGCTTGCAAAATAAGCTAAGGTCACTAGTTAAATGGTGTAGTATATAGCGCTTTTCTTGTACTCGTCGTAAGAGCGTTTTCGCTCTTCGAGAAAGTGTTTTATAAACCAGCAGTCGGGCTTGCCGCAGATAAAGCATACCTTAAGCTTTTTACTTCCGCGGAAGCCTTTATTCTCTCTTTTACGTGCAAAACTTTTGTTTTCACCTTTGCCTTTACTACCGCGATTATAGCTTCCTTTTAAACTACGGTTGTAGCTCCTACTTGATCTTTTGTAGTTTCGATCGGTGTAATAAGTCTCGTAATTGCAATTGCTATTGTAATTATGGTCGGGATAGCTTAAGGTATTATAAATAGTAAGGAGGGCTGTGTATTCGAGTACTTAGCGCTCTTTTTGAATAGTGCTAATTGCTGATCTCAATTAAGCAGCAACTCTTTCGTATGTATTAGCTAGGTTGAACATTGTTAGTTTGCATTCTTCGACTCTATTGCAAGCGCTAATAAGTTGATCGCGCAATACGTTATCGGTCTAGTATTCGAGTGTAAAGCTTTGCTAACAGCTCTTTAAAAGCTTTATCGTAATCTTTAAGCACTCTAGTCGGGTCTTCTCGATGTTCTCTTTGTCTATAATAACATTAGCGAATGTAATAGTTTTTTACAAGCTTATGTAATGCTTTCGGTTTTTATCGGTTTCGAAGTGTTAAGCTATAAGGTGTATCATAGCTTCGAAAGTATAGCTTCTGCTAGTTATTTAATCGATATAATAAGCGTCTGCTGCTCCGGTAAGCATAACAAAGAAAGCTTTAAAGTATAAAGCAAAAAGGATGTCGCATGTTTCGCACAAGCTATAGAACTTCTTTAGCTTTACGAAGAGTATATCTTATATTCTTTTATTATATTTGAGCTCTTTCTTATGTCTATATATCTTATTAAGTCCGCTAATCAATTGCGCTAAGCTTGGTCTTTAGCCTCTTTTAGCTGATTGGTTAAGGTCTTTTCTATTACTACCTCCGCCTTTTCTTTCACCTCTTTCTTTACTTCTTCTTCTACTTCTTTTTTTACTTCCTCTTCCACCGCCTCCTCCACCTCTTTTATAGTTATCTTTGCGATAAGAGTCTTCCGTATAGTTGCTTTTATTATCATCACCTCCGCCTTTACTTTTATTTGCTTTTCGTCCTTAAGGTTCGCGGTGTTCGAAGATAAATAGTACGTAAGGTTGTCTATGAACTATTAAGTTAGGTAAAGGTCGAGATTAAATCGGTAGTAAAGGTTGTAGTCGAAGGTCAAGGGTGAACTTTTATTGTCTCTGCTGTTGATAAAGTTGCTTATCGAATAGTAGATCGAATTGTATATCATTCGGGGGTGAAGGTAAAGGTCGATACAGTTGAGGGTGTATCGGTAAGAAGGGTGGTCGTGTAAGTTGTATCGGTGTAAAAGGTGTAAGAGATAATAAAGGTTTGACGGCAAGTCTGTATGTTATTAAACTAAGTCGCTTTTCTCGTCTTGCTTCTTCGTAAAGTGGAAATACGAGAAATGTCGATCTGTAAAGTAGTTCAGCAAAAGTTAAAGCATAGCTTACACCACTTCTTAGATCTTTTATCCATACGTAGTAGACGAAGAGGTGATTGTATAAGTATCTTAAGATTGTGATGTGACTTAGCTTGAACAATAGTTCAGTCTATCTTTCGAAGAAGCTTTAGTATGTCTCTTATAAATTGTCACTTGTAGCGTAGCGATAATCATCCTTGAATATATCGAAGGCTCGGATGATATACGAGTGAACGCAACTTTAGGTCTATTTAGTCTTATCAATAGGGTCGAAATCATCAGCTTCTTATACTTCTCGGTCGACTTTGAATTTGCTTTAGAGAGTCTATTCGAGTTCTTCGAAGCTACTTGCTAAAGGCCGAACAGATTTCTTTAAGAGAAGGGGAAGGGGGTCTTCGAATTCGTAAAGGAAAGGGTTTTTGTTTCTGTCATCCGCTATATTAGCGGCGGTGGTTGCGTAATAAGGTGGTTGCGTGATAGACGCTACAACTAGTGATAGTACTGCTAATTGTATTAGGTTTCCGCTAGACTTGTTAAGAACTAACGGTTGCTTATAACGTAGTTAATACTTTTAAAAGGGCAAAAACTACCTCTTCTTTTCTGTACTTAGCTCATCTGTAGTTAAGTGTGAATTTAACCACTGATCAGTGTTAGTTACATAATAAGGTGCACACGTAAGACTTGATACGAATAGCAAGTGGTTGCATTCGTAATGTTGTTAAGTCTGAAGGAGGAAGCTATTCTAGCTGCGAAGTGCAGTTACATGTAGTTAGGTGCACGGGCCACCATATGGTTGCTATAGCAAAGGTGCACGTGCTAAGCACGGGCCACCCTTATCCCCGATCGAGTCCTTAACTCCGATCCCTTCATTCCTACACAAACAATCTTAAAAACCGCTCCTTTTCTTCCATCTGCTCTTTATAAGTCACTTCTTAGCCCGTGCGCTTTTCCGCAGTCCAGATTCCTTTCCTTTCCTTTCCTTTCCTCTTCTCTCTCTCTCTCTCTCTCTCTC